TGTCCTGAAACGAGGAGAGGTTTTTCTGCGTTATACACCTCATCGCGCTTCGGTGCTGTAAATAAAAAAAATATATCACATGTCACGATAAAAGCGGCCGTATATCTGCCCGGAGTCCCATCGTCGGAGCGAGATATCGGTACGCGTCCACGTCGTCGCTTCAGCTGAAATCGGAAGAGCGCCTCTCGGAGGGAGAACAATCTGTCGCGGAGAATCGCCGAGATACATCCACCGACGATTTCCGTCTTCCCCATATATGCTGCGTACGTATACGCGTACGCGCGAATACGGACCGAATTATGCGCGCATACAATCGTATATGTTAGCTCGTGCTGCGCGAATTAAACGCAGTGACTCATCCAGAATGCTGACGTCATCATCGGCGTGCTCGAGGGGCAATCAACCGGCAAGAGATGCAAAAACGTGTTGCGACTCGAGCGAGCGCCGCGTAAGTGCCTCTCGCGCCGTACCATCGCGTGGGTATATCGCCGTTGATCCGCGAGTAGGTGCAGGAAATTCCTGGCACGGCGAAGAAGAGGCGCGCGATCGCCCGCGCGAGACGACCGCCGCGGCCGCTCGCGAGCTCCAAGCTCCAAGCTCCAAGGGGGCTCGGAGGGAAACCGGTGCTCTCGCGCACGTCCGCCGCGCGCGCGCCAAGACCGTGCACCACCGTTCTTTGTCCTCGGACTTTGTCCTCTAATTTACTCGCGCTTTTTTTTTCGCGGATATAACCGCGGCGAGCGGTGTCTCTAATTGCGAGCAGCAAATATTTGGACTACCGATTTCACGGCCTTAACCATCTATCTAGAACTGAAATAGCTTTGTCATACGTAACATACGTAATTTTGTTCCGCTTAGCGAGGAGCGCGATGTCGAATGCCGTTACTAAAATTGTCGCTCGTTGCGTCTCCACTGAGGAGAGAAAATATGTTCACCTTCTGCCGTAAAAATGAAATTTACGGCGAAGATTAAAAGAGCGCAGTCAAAGTGCCTAATAAAAATCGAAAAAACGTAAACATCACGCGATATCTTCAGAGGTACAACTAGGAGTGTCGCGAGATATTAACGAGCGGACGACTTTTTGTAACAAAATATCTAAATTCTAAAAGATCTTTTTTTTTAAGTATTAAATTAATTTTGAACTCTCTTTTAAAAGCTCCAAAATGATTTAATCACGTCCCGGAAACCACGGAAATACTTTACGGACAGATCCTTGGATCTTTTACAGACAGATCCAGAGACTTGGCTTTCTTCTTGAGAAAATGTCAGGCTGATACCGCCCAAAGTCGACGCAGAGCATCAGTTACATCACATCTATGTTATACTTTCATACTCAACAAATGTAAATGTAATATATTATGTTGTTGTATTACATTAACATTATTGAGAGCGAAATTATAACATAGACGCCATGTAATGTACCTGATGCTCTGTGTCGACTTTGGGCGGTATCAGCCTGATATTTTCTCAAGAAGAAAGCCAAGTCTCTGGATCTGTCTGTAAAAGATCCAAGGATCTGTCCGTAAAGTATATGTGGTTCGGTGGTTTCCGGGACGTCTTGGGATCTCGTTGCGGGGTATACCCGAGATTATGACGTATACAAAACGATGGACTCACCTAATCATAATATCTCGAAACGGGACGATGTCGAACCAGCGGAAGCTCATTCAACGAAGGAGATACACGAGCAGGCGTGAGATCGGGTCCTCCGTGCACCTCGTCCACCGCGTCGGTTACCACTTCTACTTTCTACGGTGGTGTCAAACACGCGCGACTTGACGACGCGTCCATAGAGACGTAACTAAATCACGGAGGGGTCAGTTCGCGGTGAGTATGTCTGCCAATCTTTCAGCAGGGTTAGTACTACCGTCATCCCAGGGACGTCGAAATCGGGCGGACCAACCTCCTACCTTGCGCCTCGGCTGTAACCGAAAAATTTCCCGGCCTTTATTCGCACTTTAGATGCGATTAAGAGCGAGCATCTCCTGAAAAAAAAACGATTCGCCGGCAAATAAATGTATTTTACATCGCGAGATGCCCGGCGCTGGTTTGAGAACGTCGATCAAATCGAAGCAATCGGTACCATTCGGCCCTCGTTGGATCTTTGGCAGGGTCTCGGGGTGCCATCGATAGACGATCGGCACAGCGATCGACGCGAGAAATGACAAATTTATATAAAAAAAAAGAAAAAAAAGGAGAAGAAGACGAGAACGAACGAGAATGGGCCCGGCCTCTGCGCTCCTGCGTCCTGGCTCGTGTTAGATTGCTGTAGAAGGCTTTATATCCACTTTAGTCACCGACCGTCAAGCAATCATCCTATTGCCGGATTGTAGTATCATGAATGACAGTAAGAAAACGCTTACCGGGAGGCAGGCGATCGCCACGCGAGTTCCCCTGAAATATTGCGCGCCGTTCATTCCGCGCCCGTCGTATTCCCACGGTTCGTTCCGCGCGATGAAAATCAAAGACGACGACGACGACAAAGCGCCAATTCAAAAAGTTATTACGATAATAATAATAATAATTTATCATAGTAACGTGACGTGTGAGCAATAACCCTCCTCCCCATTAGAAGTCGTCGTCGAGTTCACATTCCCCTCCCGCCCGCCCTCTGGTTTACCATCGCTCCAAGAAGCGACACACGGAAATAATTTGGCCCTATCAAATCTCATTTACGCTCATGACTCATTTCGTCAATTTATTCGCGTCCGGTGGCGATATTTCAACGTCTTCGACGCTCCGCTATCCTACTTCGCGATGTGAAAGGCGCTTCGCGGCGGAGAGACGCGCTCCGGATCGCGTCCCGGTGAAGCGCAGACCCGGAGGATCTTCTTCAGAACTCCTTTAAATAGAAGCGTCGATCGCTTAAATTTTGCAGACGCGTCGCGATCTTTCGCCAGCGATAATTTCTCTTCCTCTCTCTCCTTCTCTCTGTCTCGAGCAGTTCCGGAATCGAGCCGCTCGTTACCGCAATTAAAATGGAATGGCGTTTAGCTGTTCTCTAAAGTTAAGTCATATCTGTAAAGGGGCGGAAAGCGATCGCGGATACGGTACGTTAGTCCGTATCACCGGCAGCGATCTGAAACTGGTTTTGATCGACAGCGGCGCGGAACTTTGACGTAGAGTGCCGCGACGGTGACGGCGGCGGCGACGGCGACAGCGGCGACGGCTCTCGTTTTCTTATACTACCTATAGTATGCACACATCCGGTCGATCTGTACTCCAGCAACTTTCCTACTTCATTCATGGACGCATTCAGTGGCCTTTGAAGGTTGCACCGCGGTAAGGAGTGGTGGGCACGGCACGGCGCGCGGCATGGCGCGCGGTGAAGCGGGCGCAGGGACGTAATTAAGGGGGAAACTTCGCGGGAGAGGAGTACTGCCAACGACATACATATGTGAGCGCGTATATGTGAGAAACCCGTACGCAGGCACCTTCGAGTCGTATACGCGGAATTCAGCGTTCGCGGGCCGAACAGCCCCACACGCTCGCGGGAACTTTCCCATTTGATGCAGCCACGTGAAAAAGAAAAGATACAGGCGAGAAAGGTATATCGAAAGGTATATACTGGCCGAGCGGGGCTCGCTGCGCGAGCCAACGGAATGCTGGCTCCGCGCATTCTTTACCGATTCATTGATAACCCCGACACGGGTGCGCGCTCACCTGGTTACGTCACTGCCCGGCGCGGACGACCGGCTGACAACGCGGACCAGTTTCAGCATAAGCCTTTCGTGGAAATGTTACCGCGCTCGCGGTTACATTCACCGAATATGTCCTGCGTCGTCTCATTGTATCGTGGATTTGTCCGAGCGCGTATCGCGTAGGGATTCGCCTTGGCTTGCGCATGCGGAATATATGAAAATGAATACATATATGCACGATACATATGGAGGAGTAAAAACCACAGTTATGTAAGTCAAATTTTTAAAAATATTTTATCGTGTGCATAGATGCAATCTGTACAATATATAAATTGCATCTATGCACACGAGAAAATATTTTTAAAAATTCGACTGTGGTTTTTACTTCTTCTATATAATACCGATTTGAATCCAATCGAACGCAAGAGTCGCTTCGTTATCGATATACTCGAATATCTTCAATTCGCTTCCGATTTGAGGGACGACTCGAGGGAAGAATTCTCTAGCTAGCTTCATTGTGGACGATTTTGTTACTCGCAGGGTCTACGGTAACTGCGGCCGAGACTTTCACCGTTTCTCCGCGCCGCTCCGGCGAATAATGCATCTCTCGCGATATACGAGTATACGTGCGAGCGCGAGCGCAATCCTGTAAGGAATTCAGGAGGGAGAGAGGGGCGCGCGGAAAAGCTGAATGAATACAAATTTCTCGACGGTTGCGCAAGCGACCGGTGACTCGAAGCGAAGGAGATAGGAGATACCGACGCTCTCCAAGCCTGCAGCTCGCGAGCGAATGCGATCCCCAGGATCGGCGTTCGCTCCGACATTTCGAGCAACAAAGAATCTCGCCATTCATTCGAAGCTCTCTCTCTCTCTCTCTCTCTCGAAATACTCTCGGCCGAAGTAATAATCGCGCACCGAGATGCCGCTCGAACAAACTCGGCGGTTCCGTCGAAAATTCCATTCCTTCGCACACAAGCGCACCGCGCGCGGATAAAGCTGCACGCACGTGCATGCGTGAGAAAGAACGCGCACGCCAGAAAGGGCTGGGAGCTGTCGGCGAGTGCCCCGACGAAGGAGGAACCGAGACGGCGCGCACCGACAGTATACCGACACATGGGCGCGCGGCGGCCGCGTGTGTATGCACACGGTGCACGTGTCGGAGCGGCCCGGTGGTGGGGCGGAAACGTGAATGATCCATAGAGAGTCGCTGCGCTTGTGTGCGACGGTGTAGCGCGCGCTGCGCTCGTGAGAGTGCCGTCGGCGGCGATCGCCCGGCGCTGCTCCGCGCTCACGCGCCACGGGCTCTCAACTCTCTCAACTGGCCCCCGCGCGCTCGACAAGCGCGAGGAGCCTGACGTAACGTGGGGCGCGGTAATCGATGTAACGTCCTTCAATCACAATACGCAATACGCAAAATATCGTTGTCGTTACATACGTTTCTCGAGGCTATCAGAGATACCGGGTCGAGCGTCGTCGCGAACGGAACAAGAGACCTTCCGTTCAGCGAATCGGCTTCCCCGGCTCGATCGTTAACGCTGAGAAACGCTGAGCCATGTCATACAGTACTCGGCAATCGGCATTACGCGGCGCGGTGGGGTAGAGAGCCTCGAGATAAGCGGTAGTGGTAGTGATGTGAAACATTCGTGGGTCGGGGGGCTGGTTGGCGGCATCGGCAGGCAAGAAGACAGGCAAGCAGGCCGAGGGAGCGGTACGGTACAAGTTGGGTGCGAGACGCGGAGCAAGAGCGGGAGGAAACGGCACGGCGCGGCGCGGTTTCGGCTTCTCGGCATCGGCTTCGGCTTCGGAAATGGCCGCGGGAAAGTAGAGAGCGGAGCGTTTTGTCGCTGGGGCTGGCAGGCTGGTCGGTTGGGTTGGTTGGTCGGTCGGTCGTCGGTCGGTCCGTCCGTCGGTCGGTTGGCCGGGTTGAATCTGGTCGTCGGTCGTGGTCCAAGTTTTTTCGGAGCACCGCGCGCTCGTTCATCCGGCCGCATCGGGGGCGCGCGATCGATTCTCACGGCATCGGACAATCTCGGAGAAGACCAGCGTGAGATGTGAGAGCCGACGGCATCAGGAGACCTGAGGAGAGACGTTGGGAAAACGGAAACGACCTCGACGGAGCGGGACGGAGAGCAGAAACTCGCGGTTCCTCGCTCGGTCCGGCCACGGCGAAGAAGAAGAGGATGGCCGGCGACGACGGGACGACGACGAACAATGAGATCCTCGACGCGGAGGGTGGGGAGGAGGGGCAGGGTACGTCAGCGCGAGGGGAACTGCATTCCAGAGTGGGCGGCATTCTGGAATGCGATCCCCCCGGTAACAGGAATTCGTCGAACGAGCGAGTCGCTGCCGCCGCCGCCGCTGCCACTGCCACCGCCACCGCCACCGCCGTCGCCGTTGCTGACAACGAGGACGGTGTCTGCCGATATGCGGTCGGCGCTGCTAACCGCGCTATGTCTTTCTTCGAGATGTGCCAGGTATCGTATATCGGTGGTGTAACGGCTTGTCGGTCAACTCGCGCCGGTCCGATTGTCAATGTCCGCGATCGTTCAAATCATGTTGAAACTCACTCGCGAACGTGGGAAAAGCTTCGTACCGGACTTCCGCTTATAATTTCGTGTTTCACGACGTGACTTTTGCGACGATCGCGAGAAAAGGAAAATCCGGATCAGTGGTTCATAAAGTGTCTTATCCTTTTAGATTCGACTCCAGTATCTGTTCCCGCAACTGGGTCCACCCCCACGTTACAATATCCACGACGACTCCATAGAATCGACCGCAGAGATCCTGGCCAACGACGTGATACGGTACTTGCTGAAGGAGGATATCTATCTTATATCCCAGGATCCGGTCTCCCGCAGCATGAGGCACAATGTATATCAAATGCTCAACAAGCACAGCATTCTTTTCACGAGTATGGTAAATCGTTTGAACGTCGTCCCGGACACCGCTTATGAAACATTCATGGGGGTCGCCAACGAGCTGTTCCTGCACGGCGTTATCACATGGGCCAGGATTGTCTGCTTGTACGCCTTCATGGGCAGATTGGCTTTGTGGGCCAGGGACAGAAGAATGCACAGTCTTAAAAAGAAATTGCCATTGTACGTCTCTAGATATGTTGGTGAAAACATAACGCACTTCATCAAGGGCTATGGCGGATGGGTAAGTGCGCGCAATCGTTAATTATTGTTAAAAATGTTTCGTACGAGATACACAAACCTAGCGTTGCCGTTTTGCAGGAACAATTGTGCGTCGAGTACCCCGTGGCCGAAGAAGTCAGCGGCGCGGTTTGGCGGAGTCTGTTAATGACGGGCGCCACTCTCGGTTTGATCGCTACGATCTTATCGGTGACTTCTTGATGGAACCTCAAGACGGGATCGTGCGACTTGAGTACGTTTTGTTCGAAAAGCCTTCGCGTACTTACGTTCTACGGGAACACTCTCGAAAGGGATGCGTACCAATTTTTATAAACGTACGCACAACGTTGTAACATTTCACCCACGGACATCGGAACGATTCGATTCAAACGGAGCGCTTGCTACGTCTATACGAGAAACATGGAAAATTAACAAAAGATACATCAACGCGTTGACACACATAATTTTCATATCAATGTCACTCGGCTTAGAGGATCATCCTACTTTTTATGTAACTCCAGCGAGCATACATAGCATGAGCGACAGACAATGACGCTAGTTTCCTATTACAATACCTTATAACAGACTAGTGAAATTAGTAGACAGACTATCTTATTTAATTCTACAAGAATAGACATTTTATATTAAAAAGTAATTCCTAATAATAATACTCAAAATTGAAGAAATTCTTAGAAATTTACGGAACAAGAAACAAGAATCTCGAAATTATGTTGAATTTAGGTAGACGCAATCTATTTATTTATAATTTATTTTAGGTAGAAAATATATTAAATAATAAATTTTTTTCGAGTATCTTTGGGTCACATAAAAAACCGATCGCAACCACACATTTTTAAACTTTAAGGCATATATGTAATACCGACGAAAAAAACAATGGCTACGAAGCTATACCGTCATGTATATTCAAATAATGGCTACTTTTTTATATGTTGATATATTCTATTACACTTGCAAAAATTTTATAAGCATATTCAGAATAAATACTTTTATAAAATAACGATCGTTCTCCTGTAATCATTACTGAAACAAGAGAAAGAGATTTAAAAAAAAAATACCTACTACAAAGATATAATTAATTATCGATCAGTTTTCGCAATTCCACAGAAAATTTGATTTCTTATTTGTCGATTCCCATTTAGTATTAAAATACATGTAGGTATGCATTATTCGTGTTTGCTACAAAATTAATTTCTCATGTACATTATCGCGTATCAATGGAAATTTACAGGGTAGAGCACAAGTTACTGTTATGAAAATTTAAATATAGTTTTATGAAGCGATTACATTACTACAAATAAAAACCGCTCATAAAATAATATAAAGACTTATTTACAATGGTACAAGTACTTTTGTTTTCTGGGAAGACATCGAGTCAACATCGTTAGAGCATCTTTAAATGTATCATAAATTATAAGCGATAAGTATTAATATACTGTTGCGTATCGTGATAAAGGGGATCAGTCTTAATCACTACGAAAATACCATAAGCGACGTACTTTTGATGTATACGTTTGCAAATAATCAAAAATACTAACTTCATATAAAATAACGCTATCCATTCCTACTGCAGTGAACACAATCCTCCTAACCGTATCTATGTAATCTAAAACATTAATTAATGAAGAATAATAAAAAGATATTGACATTTGACATTCCATTCATATTAATAGCTTGAAAGTAAGAAATGTAATTCTTTTCTGTAGAATGTGTTAGGATGTGGTACAAATTAACGTTTTCGAATATCATAAGTAGCAACATTTGCATGCGGATAGTTTTGTTTAAAATAACATACCTATTTTAAAAGAGGCTACGTTGTATGTCAGAACTGCGGCTTATCGAGCCTTTTGTACGAATGCGGAAAACGATCTAAACTATAATAAACCTTTTTGTACACGATAAGTATATTGTATAATAGGGTGCTGGGATAATAACTTGCCTCTCTTTATTTCTTATAACCAAAGAGGAGGATACATTTCTGCCAAGGAAATATATTAACTGTCGTTTTCAGCGTCGAAATCTCGTACATATTTTCATATCCATGAGACTACTGAGATCTAATTTCACTTAAGATTTACAGTGTATGTATGTATATATGTGGATGGATGTATGTATATGTATATATATATATATTGTAATATTTACAATATATATTTATAATTATATACGTTAACAAAAGGCAACACCGAACAATGATCAGAAATCTATCCCTAAGGGTCTCATAAAGATGATGATGGATGATAATGTACGTATTGGTTTATAGCTACAAAAGTAAAGTCACGATTTTTTCTATATATTACAGTTCACTAGTAAAATAGTTTATTTTATTATCGTATAAGTTTTACCGTTGAAATACTCATAAATACTAAATATGAACGGATAATGAAATCCTTGACACAATAGTTTGCAATTTATTTCAACTGAAAACCAATGCCTTATGGTGCTTTTTCAGATATGTCTGATAGTTTGACAGCTAAACATTTTAATTTCATATATGCACACATTTTTTTTTCACGAATACGAAGACTTGACCTAGAATTCAAATTTGGATCATATACAAGAAATTTTGAATATTTACGAGTTTTTTTATTTTTATACAAGATCATCAAGATCTTTAATACACCGTTACAGTTTACGAATTGAGTGTGAATATAGATTATAAAATCACAAACTATAGAGGGCGAAATCTTGGCGAGTATATCTAACAATTTTCTTATATCTAATCAAATTTTGCGACTGTACAGAAAACAACTGCGTTTCAACTTTTATTTCAGATCCTAATGTGCATAATAGCAAGAATCAACAATTTCGGTTTAATAAATTTTCAAAATTCTCTACTTTGCTATTATCGATATTACTATATTTAATTGTATGTATTATGCATTTGTGTTGTGGATATATATACTATATTAACTGTACAAACGGAAAACTCATTTCGTCTGCCACTTTATTTATTATTGACAATTATAAGTGATTATTATATTTGTAGTCAACCTTTAATTAGTTAGCTAATTAAACATATCGTCAGCGTTATGCAAATGAATATCAATCAAATCGAATAAAAGAAATAAGAAACAATGATAAAAAAAATAGAATGACAAAGACAAGATAATAGATATTTTCAACTAATTTGAAAAACAGCTGAATAAAATTGATATAGAATTATTATTTTTATTAATCATGTACTTGCCACATACAAATAAAAGTATTTAAAAAGATATATTATTGTGCATGTGAACAAAACATGTTAGATATTAATTTTTTACTATAATATATCCATGTTAAAAATTGAGACACAATACGACAAATGCAAGAAAAAATATCGTATGCAATTTATAACATATTCAAAACATTAATTTACGAAAAGGAGAAGAATAGTAACAATATGAATATTTTCTTTGCAAGTTGACAATTGTAGTGTGTTCTACTTTTACATGCAGAGATGGAATATGGTAATATGTGAAGGATATCACAAACTTGGCCCCCTTTAATCTGCACAATGTCAGTATGAGCAATTAACCGACATTTTATATAAATTTATCTGTAAAAAAAAAGATAAAATATACATGGGAAAAAAAGTAATATTACATTTTCGCGATATTGGAAAAGATTTCGTAGTTAGGTATATTTAGCTTTCTTGAAACAGTACACACAAGGATTAAAGAAGCTCAACTAATATAAATACATAGCACTGACGATACGCATGTAGATAATTTAGCGTTTCTTAAACATTGGCAGTTGTAGCCTGGACGTATTGTGGTCCAAAATAGGGTAAAACAATTGGGATGATCCATTTGAATTGTACCTGACTTATTTTAAACAGCTATTCTTAAAAGTAAGGGGAAGAAAATAAGTCCTCGGGAAAAGCTTTCAATTCGACTAACGTCGTTAAAACATGATAATTAAAATAGTAAATTTTTAGCTAAGTCATTTTACATCGCAACATGCTAATTGTAAGTACGTTGCGAATAATGACACATATCTTGCTCGTCTTAATGAATATAACTTTTCTTAAGATTACCTAAAACAATGGGGCATTTCCATTAAGAATCAAGAATCTACAATGATGATATAACACACAGCAAGCGCAAATCAAAATATTGTCCAATCTTGTTAGTGATCGGAATTGAATTTTAATAATTTGAGTTCAGTATTAATCATAAACGACATTATACGTGTTGCCACAGAGCATATTATGTATAAAGTGCATATAACACGTTTATCACTTTGTAACATGCTCCATTTTTGTCTCTTGTTAACTCTTTCTTGGTTTATCACAGCTGGGGCAGAGGTGGGAAGGAAGAGGACTTGTGTCACCCCGAGAAATGAAACTAGCAAACATCCTCTATTCCTTGTAATCCCACCATTCCTTCTCATATCCTTCATGAACATGTTCTAAAAGCACTTTTCTCCGACTATCGCAGTATCTTTAAAAGCAAAATGTAACGTTATTTGAAAACATAAACATAACACAAGCAAGATATTTAATTTTTCTAATAATAATGCATAATCCTTACCTATATTTATCCTGAACCTTTTGCTTGATGTCTGCAAGATTTTCGCTCGTGATATCCCTTTCAAGATATTCAGAGAGGCATTCTGTAGCACTCTCCAAATCCTTTTGGTTATCCTCAAAAATCACAGACTGATTGTTCTTTTTCACATAATAAGCGAAAACGTAAGTGTACATGAGAGTCTGTCTACAGGAACACAAAATGTCAACTGCTTTCTTTAAAAATTGTACCTGAAAAATATTGAAAAATAATAACGATGGTACATAAATTTGTATCCAATAAACTTAAGAAAATTAATTTCTAATAATTATCACCGTACCTCAATCCACGACATATTATGTTGCTGCATTTCTTCCATTTTCTCCTTCACGCTGGCATACAATTTACTTTCAAACTTTAGTGATTGCATGTGATTCATATATCTATTGCAATAAAATAAATATCTTTGTAAAGCTGATCTGGATTTTTCTTGCGCGTCCCTTGCCACTTTTGCTTCCTCCTCATCATAACGGTTACAATTGTACCAGCTAGAACCATGAGGCTCCCAAGGACCAAGACATACCCAACAAAATTCAGTTTTGCAATTCTGATTCTTGCAAACCATATGATTACATCCGCCATCTTTTTCGATCGTGACATTACACTTAGGGCACTCCTTCGTATTGGCAGCGATCCAGTTTGACGTTTCGGAATCGTCATCACACTTTTTGATCCACTTACGGAGCAAATGACACTTCACAGGATCGTGCCAGTTTTCGCCACAGTGGAAACAGAAGGTATGTCCACATTTGCAAGTAACTGGTCTTGCTTCTACGTACTGCACCTTAATAGCATTGTTGCAATCGGGGGAAGGACACCATCTCAGTAACCTATTGCACTATATGAGGAAAAGAAATGTAACAAACACTTGTGACACATCCAATAAATTAAATTACGTTAATCAAATATTTACTTCGACAAAGCTATTGGTGATTAAGTGTTGATATTTTAATTTAACTTTGGAATCCTTGACAAGTCGCATAACACTGGCGTCGTCGACTAAAATGTCACAAGCGTGAGCAGCACACGCTATTGTTTGTCCAACTCCTTCTTCCATGATTTTGGTTGTCAAATATTCTCCCCAGCACCCGGTGCAGAAACGATGCCCACATTCCAGACCAGTCATCATCTAATGGTGTTGTTATAGGTTCATTTCTTTAATATATTCCACTTCTATTACTACTCTTTGAAGAAATTTGATAGATAAAATAGACTTACTGAGGATGGCAAGGTCATAAAACAGATTCCACATTCCTCTGTTCCATTTGTCGGTCTTTTCGGCTGTTTAACAATTAACAACACATGTAATATATAATTCTTGCGCTAACTCGTCAATAACGAAATACGATTAAAATAAATTGTACACGTACATTTACCAAAGAACTTTGGGAGGATCGACTCCTGCTTATCAGAGGGCCCTTCCTGAACGGATTAATGACGCGTGCCTCGGCAAATAACTTTTCTTGATCACCATCATAAAATCGTTCCATCAGCTTTTCTTTATCCCATTTAAAATGATTTAATAAAATACGTGTGGTGGTAGCCGGTATCTGTAGATTAACACGTGCATATAACATATCTCCCTATAGTTTATCTCGAGAAACTACATCCTATTGATAAGTTACGAGGCTTACTTCAACAACAGTATTGACTTCCTTTATGGAGTCAACCATGTCCTGTACAATCTCTTCCGTGGAAAGCACTTCGAATGGATACTCGTCGACGTCGGTGGCACGCTCCCGTGGATTACCAGACTCGATTTCCATAGCGAAGTCAACGTCGTCGCCACTCGACTCGTTGCCGGAGTCGACGTCGTCGTAAAGCGTTTCCTCCTCCGAATCCATCGTGTGTGGGTGTGCGTTGAATCAACAAACACCTCTAAAGGGTTCTACACTGGCGCTTCTCTTTCCTCTCTCGGGCGGCAAGTTTTCCCACGCGCGATCAGATCGCACTTAGGGACCTGGCATCCAGCACGAGCAGCTCGCAGGAACGTTGATTCGCGCCGCGTTTACTCCGGAAGACCGTCCGTTGAGCGCAACGCTTCGTCCTGGATATAATTTTATACGTTAATACAAAATATGTGCAAAATATCGGCAATCGCATCGGGGATTTAATACATTTTAACGCGCGTTCGGCGGATTTACAGATTTACTCCGGAACTCGATTTTTTCGGAGAGACACGAGGAGACGCGGGTGATTCGCGTTACCGAGGGACTCGAGGGACGCGCACCTGCTGCGAGAAAACGGCTTATGTTTCCGTACGTGACGTCATCGTTCCTCGATGCTGCCCGAATAAAGCATCCGGAGCGACGGACGGTCTTCCGACGGGCACAGAGGCGCGCGATCCTGGGACGCGTCGCGATACCGATCGCCGCGTGGCGTGTCCCGATCCTCTCGGCGGCGCGCGCGGAGGCTCCCGGGGGATTCGCCGAGGTTTCCGTTTACGGGGAGAGAAAAGGGAACAAAGTCAGCTGCCAAAACATCCGAGATGAACTCCGGCGGCGGGCGCGGCGAACGGCTAATCCCACGGCGGAGCGAAGACGTTCGCGCTAGGTCGGCCGATTGCGACGATCCTCCTCCTCCTGGGCTCGGGCGGACGATGCGATTGACGGCCGAGCTGGGCCGAGCGACGCGCGAACGCCGCGTGCACGCGCGAGAATGACGCTCCCGCGTCCGTCGAGGTCGACCTCGGCGCGAAATTATCGGCGGGATCACGCGGCTATGCCGAGGCTGAACGAAAACGCGCGCCTAAATGCGGACGCGCCTCGGAGGCCGCGTCGGAGGAGTCGACTTCGATTTTGCATACGATATAAATATACGCGCGAAGGACGAGCCTGATGCGTACGCACGTGTGTGCGTATGTATGTGTGAATGTGCGCGCGCTCGCGCGCGTCGCAACTCGGATCTCGGATACGCTAATTAGCACACGCGCGCGTTTATAATAAGGCGCTGGACGAGACACGTTAGTTCAAGGGCAATCGATTCCGCGCGCGAAGAGAGAGACGCTCGGAGAGGCGAGAAGACGAGAGACTCGTGGCGAGACTGGCAGCGCGGGCGTCCCGTTGCAAAACCGACTCGATAAAATTTCACGCGTCACGCGTCACTCCGGCCGCGCGGGAGGATGATAAACAAACCGGAGGGCACGTACGGTTGATGTGACGCCCCCCGTCGTTGAGGCTGCGTTATATCCACGATGGACGGGGATCGCGTGCTCGATTTCTTTTTGTCGGGCAACCTCGTGTCGGGGTCGGTAAGCTTTTCCAGCACGTTTCGAGATGGACGATGGACGCGCGGGGATCACGAGACTCGGAGAACGTCGCACACTCGCGAGTTACACCACCGTACACTGGCCACCGAGGCTTAACGAGGTCGGGTCGCGTGCAGCGGGCGTTTGTCCTCGCCCATCGCGACGGCCGCCGCGTTGTTGCGAGCGACAAAGAGGATTTGTGAGTGCGCGATCGCGGAGAACCCACCGTTTGCCATGAAAGGAAGACAGACAGAAAGAATGAGACGAGGGACGAGGGATGCCGGATGGCTAAAGAGAGAGAGAGAGAAAAAGGGAAAGAGAGAGAGGTGATTTCGAACGAGTCTATAGCCCGAGCACTGCTGCCACGTCTGCGACGACGCGCGACATCGACTATCGAGTCCCTCGACGATCGAACGACGAGCGTGCCACCGCTCTCCGTCGTCGACGTAGGGCCGTGACGCGGTGGCCGCGAGCCGTGAGGTCGCACCCGAAATTTCGCGAAACAATCCTGCGGGACACCGCGCGATCCGGGTGTCGGCGCGCGAGCGATTCGACGAACGGCCGCGAACTGACTCCGAAACTCCGAAGACCCGCGACGACTCCGTGACGCTAGCCGAGTCGCACCGAACCGAGAGTGATTCGTCCCACCGCCGCGAAGTGAGCCACGCTCGCGCGCCGTATCGCGCGCACAGCTGACGGACGCGCAGGACCGTTCCGCGCGTACGTTCAGTACGTACGCGCGACGCGCGGGACGTGCCGCGTGCCGCATTGTTTACAACGGGTAGACACCTAAATCGCGAATATCGCGATACGGCTCCGATCTAACCAGGCCGCTGCGTCTCGTGCTCTTTCTCTCTCTCTTCTCTCTCCTCTCTCGGCAGGATGCGACGATTTTTTGCGGCACGCTGACATCGAATCGCGTCAAAAATCGGAGTCGTCTCAATTGCATTCACTTATATGAATCGCTTTAAGCACTTTATTACATTTTATGCCGAAAAATCAATCAATATATGCACTGAAATAAAAAATAAAACTGTCTTGTTAATCCTATGTGCTCCGCAATAAATGTTACATTTTGTATAATTAACTGCGCAAGTTTCCTTAACCTAGATAAAAAAAATCTCACCCATCTTCCACTCCACTTTCTCGACAGCGATATCAATCTGTATTCGTCGTTGATAAATTTCTGCCGATTACGCCTATGTGCGAGGAAACGTGCGCACGAGCGACGTTAAAAGTATCGTATCATCGTGTCCACCCTTGCGACGTTTCGCCGCGAATGCCACGTTGAATTAGCGTATTTCCGTTGGAAAAATGAGTCTACCTAACGTGAGAGACTATTGCATGCTGGAAAAGATCGGCACCGGAAGCTACGCGACCGTGTACAAGGCATTCAAGAAGGTACGTGCGGGGATTCTCGTTTTTTCCCTCCCGTTCGAAAAGATTCCAGGTTAGGTTTGTTCGACCGCCCCGAACCACCTATCAAGCATCGATCGTTTATTTGTCACAAAAGGAGACACGAGCGCTCGCTCACGCGTTAAATTATACGTAGTGTTTTCTCTCACGCTTCTTCTCTTCCTCCCCCGCTGCCCTCCCCCCATACACTCGCCAGAGGGTAAATACGCGTTATCGCCGGAAACTCGATAGCGTTTACATCGCGCTCGTGTGCAGGGTCGGACCTGCTTTCCCTCGTGCCCTCAACTTTAATCCGGAAATAGACACCGGATATTTTTACGTAAACGATCATTTGAGATAAACTTTATACTCCAGTTAAAAGTTATTAATTACATATCGTATATTATCGATTGTTCTATAATTTATCAATATTTGAGGATATTATGATTTCTAAAAAATTAAGATATTAATATAAAACGTTTATATATATTTATTAATTTTTTTTTCGATGGGATTTGCATATTTGAAGGTTTTTAAAGGTTTGTAAAGAATAGTTATTAACACTGAAACTACTAAGAAAGTAAAATGACAACATTTTTTTATGATTATTACTTATTTTTTAATTACTTATTTTTTAAACATTTCAATTTCTAAAACTTTCCCTAACTTTTATTGAAATATACAGATAATTAATTTTATAAATTTATTTTTTCTGTTTCTCTCTTTTTTTCAGATTTCTATATAGATACATAGATATACCCGGATCATTTAAAAAATGTATATACACAAATATACATTTGTTTTTCTTGAATATCGTGTCTTTTCGGAAACGATCATTTTAATCCCTTCGGCAGAAATGCAAATATAAAGCTAAGTATACATTTAGCGAACGAACAGCGAACGCGAACGTTCGGGCACTCGCGTTATTGCTCCTAGGTTGGTTGTTTTTTCTTTCGATTGCACCAAATACTAGAATTCGACTAAATTCGGTGTTTGCTGCATGTAGCAATTGGAAATTTTTTATTACATCTGTTGAATAATGACAACGAACGTTTACGTTTGCTGTTCGTTCGGTGTTCGTTCGCTAAGTGTATACCCAGCTTAACATATATGTGTTATATTGCAGAGTCGGATTTGCTTTCCCTTGAGCCCTCAACTTTAATCCGGAAATAGCCACCTGATATTTTCACGTAAACGTAAATGATTATCTGAGATCATTTTTACATTCTACATAATACATTTACATAACATATGTGCAATATAATAAAAAAATTTACATTGTTGAGCAGGAAATTGTAACTTGCATGCAAGTCGCATGTTACTTCGTGTTTGTTGCGATAATTATTATATCGAATTTATAACATAAACTCTTATCGCACTTTATTAACTTTTATAACGTAAACGATTACAATGGTAATAAATAAATTCGCCAGTAAATAAATAAAAATAATAAAATCCGAAATTAAGCGACCCAACTGGCCAGTTCACATTTATTCTAACTCACAACGTTTCAACCATAATCTGATCCTTCTCAAGTGAGATATTATAATTTATTACGTAACATTAGACATCATGCGTCGCCAGACGTTGTATATTTCGAAGTAAACGATTACCTAGAGCGATTTCTACACTCCAGCAAGTTTCAATAAATTGGTTACAAAATATACAGGTCATAAACTCTGTATATTATTATGCAGGTTGAATCGCAGAATAAAAAGTATATAAATATGGATGTCAGTCAATAAAAAGAACTACTGTGACATGAGTTTTATTTTTTCGACGCTGGGAAAATTACTCCAGTGGGCCTATTCTGTAACTCTTAACAGTTTCGTTATCGTTATATTACCGTTGCGAGCTTTTTTACCATATATATCTGCTCAACGCCAACGAAACTGTCGTTAAGAGTTTTGGAATAGGCTCACAGGTGATTATTCTCGGATTAAGATAAATGAGGGTAAAATCCCACTCAAAAACCAGACCTAAGTAGCCAGTCCAGCATCTCGCAGATGCCAGATTCGTTTCCGAAAAAAAGTCTTGTCAATAGAAAATATATAGCGAAACATTTCTGATTTCATCGAGAGAAAGAACCACGCGACTTTTCCGTAAAGATTCTACGCTAGATTTGAAACGTGCTCCAAATTGCGAATTTTTCTCAAAGTTTATCAACGTTCTTTTGTAATAATCGTTCTTAGGACGGGAGCCGAGAGGTAGTCGCTGTTAAGTGCGTGGACAAAGGTTCGCTCTCGAAATCGGCGGTCGACAATCTCGTGACGGAGATCAAGCTGTTGAACGTCCTCAAGCACGAGCATATCGTGGAGATGAAAGATTTTTTCTGGGACGAAGGGTTCGTTGAGATTTTATGATATACTATAACGTTATCTCGCTAAGCGAATGAGCGAATTAGAATATAATAATCGCTGACGACCGATCTGATAAGGAATCACTTTCGATCGACGTATCTCTTCTCCTGAGAAACAAAAAATGCATATGTACAAACAGGCACATATACATCGTCATGGAGTACTGCGACGGCGGAGACTTGTCGAGCTTCATAAAGAAAAAGCACAAGCTGCCCGAAAGCACGTGTCGCAGATTTCTGCAGCAGCTCGCGTTAGCGTTGAGGTATCTGCGCGATCACAATGTCTGCCACATGGATCTCAAACCGCAGAATTTGCTGTTGATGAGGAAACCGCAACTAGTGCTCAAAGTTGGAGGTTGGTAACCGACGCGTCTCATTTTCCGCCCTCTTCCTTTTTTCGAGGTGACTTCGCGGTTCTCGCGTGCCTTGACCGCGGAGCTATCGCTCTCGGATGGCGAATCACGATTTATCTCCGCGCCGTTTCAGATTTCGGTTTCGCGCAGTATCTCTCCAATTCGGAGCACAAATTCACGATACGCGGCTCGCCTCTTTACATGGCACCCGAAATGCTGTTGAAGCACAAGTACGACGCTCGCGTCGATCTGTGGAGCGTCGGGGTGATCATGTACGAGTGCCTTTTCGGAAAAGCTCCCTACTCCAGCAGTAGCTTTCAGGAACTAGCAGAAAAGATCAAGGAGACTCGACCAATAGAGGTGATTCCGCGTCGTTATGATTTGTTTTACTTACGTTCTGTAAATGGACCCGGCCTAACTTTAGAGGGGTATTCTGAAAGGGTTTGAACTATTGAAAGGTCGTAAAAAGAGATATCTTTCAGGAATTTTTTGCGTATTAGGGAAACGAGAAGAGCGAGTGACGTTAAACTTTGCATGTTCTTTTAGCCTTATTTTAAGAATTTATTGTCTTTTAAGTAACAGAAACGCTCTTCTTTCTTGTTATATCCTGGTCACTATTAGAAACTCGCAAGAAAAAACGCAAACCAGGAAACATAAATAAAAAAAAAATTTTTGTTGCTTAAAAAATAGGAATATATTCTTAAAATAAGGCTAAAAGAACATGAAAAGGTTACAAAAAAATTTTTGAAATATATTTCTTTTACGACCTTTCAAACCAGAATACCGCCTTAAAAAATTTCGACATAACTTCAGCAATTCTTTTTATTATAAATACACGAATCATATTAAGTTTCACGATTTTTTGCGAGTAATGTTATGACTGTCGCGAGATAAATAATTCATTGACGTGCAAAGATCGTTAACTCGGTGACGTATAATATTACGCACTTTAATTCGCATTCGAGTTCAAACGTGATCATGAATCACTTATAAATATTAGTATTATTCGCCGTAGATGCCCAGGGCGGCTCATGTGTCAGCGACGTGTAAAGATTTGCTTATGGCTCTGCTGAAGCATAATCCTGCCGATCGTATAACGTTCGATGAATTTTTCGCGCACGACTTTCTGGACTTGGAGCACGCGCCCACGAAAGAAAATTACGATAAGGCAGTCGCGTTGGTGCACAAAGCCATTGAAATGGATACCGAGAAGAATGCAAAAGAGGCATTTTATCTTTACTGCGAAGCGCTCAGATATTTCATTCCGATTTTGACAAGTAAGATCGTTTTGTAAATTTCTTTAAACGGTCAGATATGTCTGGATTTAGATTTCTCGAATCTCTCTATGAATGTTTTATTATAATTATGTATCATTCAATTAGACGAAAGTGATCTAAAACGAAAGGAGGTGTTACGTCATCGCGTGAACGATTACATAAGGAGAGCAGAAACGCTTAAAGCGGCGTTTATAGATGAAAATAATGAAAAGCGTCCGGCGCCCGAAAATAAAGGAAATGTTACAGCCCTGCAAAGGATATCATCTTTAGAGAAAAGCTCGGCATTCACGTACAACGAACTACGTTTGTATCGTGTCGAAATTTCTAGAATAAAATGCTTACCTCAAATAAAGTGTTACATAATCGCTTTTTATTATCTACGTCCCCTGGTGGAGAAATGTCTCAGAATTTTTCCTATTGTTAATCAGAATTTCTATAAAAATTTTTAGACTCAGAATGTTCAGAATTTTTCCAATTTTTTTATTAGAACGTTTTTCAGAAAAACTCAAAAAAAAAAAAAATAAAATATATCAGATTTTTCCCGCCAACATATCTGTAGAAATCTGAATAAATATGAAAAAATCTGTACAATATTTATCAGAAATTTTCATACATATGGATATTTAAATATTCCGAAAATTCTCATTCAATTATTTCTGTGAAAATATCTGAAAAATTGTATATATTTTTTCAGAATTTTTTTCAAGTCCCAATTCTTACAAAATTTCTGACGAACTATGAGAAATTTTTTCACCAGATAAGAACATTTAAAATAATAACCCGAGAAACGCCAACTTATAGATAAAACGTAACACACTTTGTTTATTGATAGGAATTCTTAGCAAAAGTACTACGAGCATGGTGGACGCGCTTGAAATAGGAGAAGCTGCTGAGCAATATCTCGCTGAGGGCAGCTATGCTCTGGCTTTAGAAAAATTTCAGTCCTGTCTAAGTGTACTTGTGCCTTTGTTGGGTAAGGAACCTATAGGCCGAAGAAGAGATTTGCTGCATAAGCAGGTGATTGGATGAATCAGAATATTACGCTAAAGTGTGAACTCATTTCCAAAGTCTCTCTCTTCGGGTGTTTTTCTGCGAACTTTAACGAAAATAAACGTACAGAAAATAAAATAAATTATTAATATAAATGGATCGCTTACTGAAAAATATGTCTAATGTTAAATGTATGCTAAGAGACTTTTGCAATGATTCGATGCACTAATAAACAATTGTAATTTTTTTTAAATCTACGGATAATTGCGTCGGACAAGTCGACTTCGTTGAAGGGGAAGTTTGCTACGCAATTGCTTAAAATGGTTTTACGCCGCTTGTCCCTTCAAGGATATCTTCTTGTATTCTTTCACAACTCAAATAGTCTGAACGAATAGCATAATAAGAATAGTATTGTACAAACGTGTAAAAATAATATTGTACAAAAGGCTCGAGAGAAAAGCTCCCTGGATAGCGTGTATTAATCACACGGTGTGATAGATTCGTGAATATGTGTATTGTGAAAATTAAGACGGAAGCATGAGCAGTAATTTACCCTGAGAATATCGCACAGTTTGAACATTCGGCACATGTTACCCGAGGCGCCTGCTCGAGAGGCGATTACTCGTGAGGCGCCTATATACTAAAAGCATATTTACCGAAGGGTTAAACTGCCATTACGTTATTATTTTGTCATTTATAAATTAAACTAAAGTACGATCAATGTTTATTGAAATTTTTATACGAGCATTCTAAGGATATTTTGATTTTCATATTGTTTTGTTGATCTTTCGAATCGATATATAGTGCGTGTTTGTAACAAATTCATAGCTTTCTATGTTTTCAATTAATAGGTACAGATTTGGATGAAGGAAGCCGAAAGTACCAAGGGACTCTTGGCTACCAAGGATATAGACTCCCTGCAACGACCATCCGACGAGCAATGTATATTACAATAATTAATGACTATACAATTGGTGGCGTAGAATAATTATTTTGACTGTCGATAGCACTTTGCACCATTGTACAAACTTTGCCATTCGTCACTCTGTATCATGCATCATTTAATCTTTAATCAGTCAGCTAATAAATAATTTTATATTGTTATAATATGAAGATTAATTATTACGTCCAATTAATTTACGATATCAATAGTTCGGTTGCAAATAGTTCTTTCAACAATAAGGATCAATTAAAAGATCAATATTTTCCACAAACAAAGATGGACGACGATAAGCGACGTTTCCCTTGCGGCAGGCGAGGGCGCCTGCGTCGCGTATCGGCTTTACGATTTCCGGCATGATCACATGACCAAATAACGGTCGCCGCTGTTCCGACATTTTATGGAAAATTCCCATTTCTGAGCTGGAAACCTCCCCACCCCTTTTTGTGTATATATATGTACTCCCCACCCTTGGCGTGACCCCGCCACGCCATTCGTCGTTCGAAGCGCAAAACCCCACCACGTGACCGCCGGCGCCTATGTACTTTCTCCCACTCCTTCGAAATTCTCGGCCCCCCACCACGCGGCGATGCGATACCGGATGTGCGGCAACGTCGCAACCGTTAAGTACATAAGATGAAACGGGGGGACCGAGGGGGGCTGGGGGGAGAGAGAGGGAACGAGAGGGGACGGGCGAGGGGGAAGAGGAGAGAGCATGAGAAAGAACTGGCAACGTGTGCCACATTCAAATCTGATCCCCGGTCGGCTTCTTAGCAAAACAGTAGAAAACGAGGAACGAGAGAATCGCGAGCGAGAGCGACGTGTTGCTTCGCGTGTGGTACGCCCGTAACTATGTGATATCGCACCCGGCGAGGAGACGCGAGACGCGTAGTGCGCATCATCAACAGCGACATCGGCGGTGTCGAGGCGCGGTGTGCGGTATATGAACGTGTGAGACGTGCTTGGATGTGTTGGGATACGTTCGGACACGTTGAGACTTGTTTGTGGCGTCTCTCCGTCTACATTTTTTCTCTCTCTCTTTCTCTTTCTCTCTCGCTCTCTTACTGTCTCTTGCTGTCCGTCTATTACACGAGCTTAGTAGTACGGAGCATTCGAAGTAGTTTACAAGGAGCGTGTCTCTACGTATAGTGTTCCCTCGCGCGTGCTGAGGGGGACCCTGGCGTGACAACGGCGGCTCCTTCTTCCGGTTCCTCCGTACGAATTTTCGCGCGCGTCCGAGCCCGCGCTCGTTTGCTCGTAACTATCCAATTTCATGTAAATGTCACGGGTGCGCGGTGGCGTGGTGGCCGTGTCGCGAACAAAGTTCCACACGACGACGTGGAATTATGTGCATGGATATCCAGTTTAACGAGAAGATGGGCGACAAGAGCATCGACGAAGACGTACAGATCATCGAGGCCCGCATATACAAAGGTAAGCTTTGAGGTTAGGTAGATGGCGACCGTAGCGGCTACGGTGGCGGCGGCAGCGACGGTGGTGGTGGCGGCGGTGGCGGTGGCGGCGGCGACGACGGCGGCGGCGGCGGCAATGGCAATGGCGACGGTAATGGCGGTGCAGGATCGCGCGTATCTTTATCTCTTTCTCTCTTCCTTCCCTTTCCTCGCTCGCTCTTCACGCGGGATTTTACTGCCCTCGTTCTTCGTAGCGTATCTCTCCTTATAGTACGATCTCCTTCCACGACTGTATCGTACTGCTCTCGTTAACGCTGGTATATCCAAGAACCGTCCACCTTCTCCAAGACGTGGTTTTCGCGCGGTACCGGCGAAACGTGGCCGGCAACCGTTCGTCGGATGATGATAAATCAAGCGTCTGTGTCGTAAGGATGGTCGACTCGGAATATGATGTGTTGATAGCAGCCGGGCACAAGCTAGTCTAGAAACCTATGTATAAATATTGACAAGGTGTCAATTGGCACTATGTAATGAACGTAAACATCTTTGGGAACGTAAACATACCTCAAAATTTTGTAGTTTCTAATACATTATACATTTTTTTTATTCTCGCTGTATCATTTTTATTACTTTTACGTCGAATCGTGCACGTGCACACATACATATAACACACGTGTGCGTATGCATATTTTTGATCATAGAAAACAATGTTTAAAAAATGGCGGAAACGAAAATCTCTCTTTTATATAGAACATTTTACTTGGATAATTAAAAATTGATTTGTGACGTAAAGGCACGTAATACGTCGCGTGTTGTCAATACGAATCAGATAGTCTCTTCTCGATTATACGAATTCACGAGACGTTGATAACGCGAACACGTCTCCTGAAAGATATTAAAAATATCTTTGATATTAAAAATGAGGAGGAATTCTCTATTGTTCGAATACTGAAAGTCGCTGATAATATAAACTTGCCCGCGTAAGAACTGTCCATTTATAGTTTATCACGATTATGGAAAGTTCTTAAAACGATATCGCAGTATTTTTCACGCCGAATATTTATGCCTTATTTTATGTTGTTTTACATTCTTTGGGGATACTCGAGTATCTTAATTATTTCGAGCTACGAATAATTGCATTCGGAAGTTCGGAACAAGATCGCGCATTCCGGTTTGCGAAATATCATTTCCAGAGAATCATTACGTACTTCAATATTGATATCACTATCCGTATCAAGTGAATGCATAAGCGATCATGCGAAAGCGATCAGCTGGCCGTTTATTTTCATTTTTATTGAGACGATGCGTGAAAGACAACGTGTAATTACAATCTCTGATTGATGACATTGATTTCTATTTGCATCGAGTCTATTGATTGATTCCCCACATCTATTCCTAATCTAAACAAGCGTGTTTACCTCATTGTTGCATAGTTTATCTTACTGATACGTGAAAATACTATTCAAATATTCCGGGCATCGTGTCAAAGGTACATTTAGGTCACATTTATCATTTAAGTGTTACATTTACTTCAAGGCAATCTCTTTTCGATTTGGCGTACTGGTCTCTCTTCACTGAAAACTATATTCAGATATCTTTTTCTTCAGGTTACTTACAAAATACATTATCTAATTAATTGGATGATGTATTATTAATTAAATGGTAGTAAAAACATTACAATATGTACTGTTTTATGTGTCCCTTGGATTTTGATTCTTAATAACTTATTTTAAGGAGAAATTTGCGTCGGACACTTGAATAGTTTTCTTAGTGCTCTTTTTGTCATTTTCCTCGTATCTCGGATATCATAAAATCTTATCCCTTTCAACTATTTTTTATTTTACGAATCTTACGCATCAAAAAATCGCAAGGACAGAGATCGAAGAGAATAGATCGAGGAGAAAGAGACCACGTTTTATCAATAATAATAAGTGAAACACAGATCGATATGATATACAATCAGCGAGAAAAACACCATTTACGGTCCGGACTCGATCTTGGTAGTCTAGTAATAATATTGTATGAATTATGTATACTTTTTTTTTTTAATTCAGTAAACTACGCCGATTTTTTTGTCAGCCCGTCACGGAAGGTGCAGGTTCGAACTTTGGCCGAGGTGGTATATTTTGCAATAAATTCTTTACAGCGATTTAACAAGAACGCTTATTAAGCATTAAAATTTAAATCGATTATCGATTTAAATGTGTGGATTTACTGTTTCAACGAGGAACTGTGTTTTAAAGACTGATAAAAAAATCGGCGCGCATTTTATTGAATTTGTGAAAAGTATACATAATTCATACAATGTTATTATTAGACTATGAAGATTCAGTCTGGAACGGCGTTTTTCTTTCTAATTGACAGTCATATTATATTTTTTGTTAAAAACTGACAAAAAGTTAATATACATACCATTTTTTTTATTCGCGAGTTATCGGCAAAAAGTAACACGGCTACAGTTTCCCACGCTCTTCCTTCGTATTCTCCTAGCTCTGTGCTTTTTCTCACGCAAAATCGAAAATGCAGCTGAAAGAGAATAGATTTGCCGATATCGAGATTAAAGTAAATTCAGGCGGCTCTTTCGCAGAAATAAGAAACAGGAGTTTGATAATAGTTTACAGTGGTGAGGAAAACATTTGGAATCATTATATCTGAAATCAAAGGATGGCAATTTTGAAGAAGGGTGCAGTTACCTATAGTTCTATTCTATAACTCTAATGACATTGTTATCGTTATATTGTCGTTGCGCAGCTCTTTTATCATATAGCATACCTGCGCAACGGCAACATAACGATAACGACATTGTTATTAAACAGATTAGACGATTATTAGACAGAATAGGGCTACTGGTAAATTTGATCTAAACGCGTCTTTTTATCAGTTTTAGATACTTGAGGTTGCGCTCTTGTGTATTTCTCATGTACCTCTTTTATGTACTTCTCATATATGCAATTGATATAAACAAGGTTGCTGATCCTTAATATGATAGGCAGGATGATGTCATGATTTATTTAAAACAATCCGTAAGATGATCTTTGACTGCATAGAGACGTTATCGCGTCGTTAAATGTAATTGTGATTGGCAAAAAAGGATCTGGATTTCAAAAGAACTTTCTGAACTCCCCGAGAGAAGAAAAATATAAAAATCTTTAGATTGCATATTGTACCGGTATATATTTTACATATACATGCACGCGTATTTCTTTATGTGTTTGTGCATCGGTATCGATGCATGAAAAAATTATGTATATTTTTGGGTGCATTTTTCAAGTAAAGAATCTTACACACATACACACGAAGTGGAACACTCGAGATTTTGGAATATTTTAGTTGAAATACTACGAAACTTGTTCCATATTAATAGTACGTTGGTAGGCAGCGCGAGTATGGTGTTGCAGAGTGACATAAAAAAATATGGCGCGTTATCCTGGGAATAGGATTTCCTTTTTATATTTGTCATGTGGAGTAAAGCGCAGGTTATCGCTCTTAAATTTCGCCTCGCGCGGTCCGTCTCCCGCGCTATTATTACGAAAGCATGAATTTTCCATACGTCGTACCGCTCGGCCGTTAAATCGTTTCGCGCAGCGCCTATGTCTCTTTATGTAATAATGCAACATGCACCGGGAACGCGCCGCGCTTATTTGTTGTAACCGCGCATCGTGTAACGTGGAGCTCGGGCTTGCTCGCCGCGAGCGCGCCTATGTTATCCATCAACCAGCTTGCTCGCGCGCGTATTGCACATATAACGCGCGCTATGTGTGCGTTATGTACCACCGAGCGAGAGTTGGGAGGGACATGTGCGGCCCCGCGCGCCCGCGCGCGCGCACTATACATAATGTATCCGCTCGTATGTACTACATAAGGAGCGAGGAGTGATGTAACAAAGAGGCAAACTTCGCCGAAGAGAGCCGAGCGTCGCCGAGGGCAAGCGCGCTTATGCCTCCTCGCGCAAGTCGCACGCGTGCTTTCGGTGCCGCGTAGGAGCGCGCGGAGCCGCATGAACCTCGTCAGCTGCTACAACTGCACGGCGCCATATGCAATTTCGCGTGAGCTACGCGAGAAAAAAAGGAATTACGCGTGCGTAAGGGACGGAGAGACGAATGGTGGCGGTCGCGACATTCTGCGCCGGATCTTTTTCACTCCGGCCACGACCTTTGCTCCCTTTACGCTCTATTTTACTTACTCCGCGATCAGCCTCCCTCCCCTCCCTCGCGGGAGAGAGAAGCGGGAAAGCGGCGCAAGCGGCGTGACCTTCATCTGGTCTCGCCGACTCTCTTTGTTGACCGCGACCAAGAAAATGCGTCTTATTAACGCGTTCGGTTGCGAAATTTGTCCGTCTTGTATTCGCGCGCGTACTAGGGTGCCCGCGTGTTACGTAACTATCGTTCGTCATGGTCATACTTTCGTAAGCTACAGGAAATAGGATGTGCCACTATCGCGCGGCGATAGAGGACCGGGGAATGCGCGTGAAAGAGCGAGCGAGAGAGCGGCGATACGGAAGGGAGATAGGGGAAGCCGGAGTTATAGCAGAACGCAGATAGATTGGAGGAGAATATATCCGTTCCGCCGCCATATTGTCCTTTTAGTAATTCCCCTCCCTCCCCGCTCGCCGCGCGCCACCTACGCTCGCCGATCTTTTCCCCCACTCTGTTTGTCCCCCACCTATCTTTACCCCCTCCCGAATTGAATATGCCTTTTGTTCGGCATAGCAACAGCAGCGTTAGAGGGCTACTATAAATAGATTGCTACGACTTTCCAGCGTTGCCAAAACGACTGGCCCAACGTGCTGCGCAGTAAAACTAGGTGCCATCAGAGCCACAGCGGCAACGTCGCAATGCTCGATGTGATATGACCTAATCAACACATAAGGGGTTTCTATAAAATGTAATAAACTCGATATGTGTGTGCGTTTAATAAATAATAAACGCTCGTATCTGAGTATCGCGCATTTGCCAAATTTTGGAAATTATTCGGGGATGAATTCGACGGGAGTCAATTATTTGGATGGTTGGGAAAATCGCGTATAATAACCTCTAATTTATACAATTACGCGTGGGATTGCGCGAACAAAGGAATTCGTTATAGTAATTTTTTTTTTATTGCAAGTTTCTCAAGTATCGATCAAGCGACGTTGCTTTTCCGCGCGCGCGTTTCTATGTATTCGCCTATGTGGCTGAAAAGTGAGGCGAGAGAGGGAATGGGCGTGCCCCCGGAGCGCGAGAACCGGCAACGCCGCACTCGTAAATCATGATTAAAATAATAAGTATAATACATATGTAGTACATAGGCGGCCGACGGGTTTATATACGTAAGAACTGCGCAATGGCGCGAGCGGGAGCTAACGTCTGGCTGGGTTCTGCGCAACTTTGCTCCCACTTTCCCCTATGTGCTCCCCCACCGTCCGGGTGAAGCCTACGGGTGAGCACCAGGAGTTGATGGTGAGCGACGAATCAACCGCGGGCGTTGGAGAGGGGCGGAGGGGAGGGATGGAGGGAGGGACGGCGAGAAGGATGGGGGGAGTGGGAGGGCGATATCTGGAAACCACGACTATATACCCCCGCGTTTACCAATCTTGGCACTTTGCCTGAAAGAGCATATCGACCGTGCGACGTTGTCACATCGTCCGCGCGATCTTACGCGCCAGTCCTGGCTACTCTTTGAGCGGTATGTACCTAGCTCCTGCAACCGGTCCATGCTACACGACGCGCCGCGATCCGAGATGGGCGGTCGTTCAAGTTTAGCTATCCACGCATCACGCTATTGCGCGTCCCTCTCCTTACCCCTCTCCTCCGTCTTCCTCTTATTTTCTCAGAAAATCTGAGGCCTCGTGACCAAAAGTGAAACGTTCGCGCGTCAAATGAACGAGGTCTTTTTTTTTAGGGTCAACATATGCCGAATGTTTAACACATTTACTTCAAAATTGGCGAAATTTCATTCAAATTTTTATCGAAGTAGAGCCAACGACAGCCATGAAGTTAACTGAGTTAACTCTATAGTCGATTTCCAATATCCTGTCCAATAATCGCTTCTAATGATACATATACGTAAAATGGTCATATATGTGCACGTAGGATTGTCATTCTACTTTTCGTTTCTACGTGCAAAAAAACGAATTTTGCACAGCAACGATTTACTCGTGTATACGTTATACATTGTCGTTAAATTTTACTTCTTTGGTAGATCATATACAATACTGTAATGATAGGTACACAAATACGATCATGCACAGCTCTATTATTATAGGCTAATTATAATTTTAGGCATTAGAAAAAGATAAAAAGTAAATTAAACCGGGATTAAAGTTAATCCGCATTGGTAGAAATGTACATAAGTGGTCAACCAGTTGTATTTAATGACGATAGTGTCATTTATCGTAAAGAAAAAAATCTTTAAATTTTAAAACGGAATTCAGTCACGGAGATATATCTGTATGCGGTGTATGAGGATTATAGGGGAGCATTTATTTACTGGTCACTCGAATCGTTGTCACAGAGTTTACATGCTAATTATCCAAGATTAATAGGACCCGCATGAGATCGACGAGATTCGGTCTCATTCCGCGCGTGCTTTCCCTGTTCCATACAAGGCATTCCGTCTCGCGGGTCTCACGATTTACGCGAAATCTATCGATCGCTCGGCTATGCGCATCCTTCACCGAGTGTGCTCGTTTCGAACCGCGTCCTCCACGCGCCTCACGGGGCAATAGAAAAAAAATAATGGAAAAAAGTCTCGGGTGAGCGTCCCGTAGGTATCCTGTACCCCCATTCCGCGTATACAGGGTGTCGCGGAATCGGCGCGACACCGGCATCACTTCCGGCCATGGACCGGCCACTCATCGATCGGCATCGCGTCGCCGGTCGAGTATCACATCCGGAGTATTCGAGCCGACGGCACCGCTCGGCGAGGACGTCGCGCCGACTGTCACTGCCGACTGCCGCGTGCCCGAATTGTCGACCGCGAGAACTGAGAAAGGCTCGCGCGCTAATCCCGAGAATGCCGAGGCCGGTTTGAGTGTGGCCCGCCGAGGACGACACTGGCGAGGAGTGCGGCGAGAGTGCGGCGCGGCGCGGCGCGGCGCGGCGCGGTGTATCTAGCGCGGTATAGCGCGGTACACTCCGCGCAAAGAGTATGGAGTATGGAGTACCGCGCGAAACCGCTCCCGCGTAGACGTGTATACAGCGGGGGGCTAGGCCGCGGAGATGCCTAGTGTCTCCGCGGAGCCGCGGGCGGTCAGCTCGATCCGGCTGCGACGACATCGAGGCCTGAAATCGAGGTTTCGCACCGAAGACCGGGAACAGCGGTTAGCGCGCGCGCACGCGATAGTATGACGCTGTCCTCGTTCGAGAGTGTCGCGGTTCTTGGGATAGCCCCGGCGGCTCGCGGAGCTACGCCCGGACGACGAGCGTGTACGTAGTCGGCGGTGGAGCGATACCGTCTACGTTATCCCGTTCTTCCCCTGTTTTACCCTCGACGTATCGAGCGCGGCAGTGGCGGTGGTGGTGGTGGCAGCTGTGGTGGTGGCGGCAGCAGCAGTTGGCGGCGGCGGCGGTGGTGGTATTGGTGATGATGATGATGAGGATCTTTCGCGCCACCTGGTATAATCGTGTCGGCGTACAAAGTGAAACGTCGTCGTCGTCGTCGTCGTCGTCGTCGTCCTCGTCGTCAAGGGAAAGCGTGAAAACTGCAAAAGTCAGCGCGAGCACCGACTAGGGGGACAACTTTCCCGTGTGCCGATCGCATCGCGCGATCGTCCACAATTCCGCTGATACGTCATCCTCGTCTTCGTCTTCTTCCTCCCGCTCCTCCGCCCGTCGTGTAACATGGATCGCGCGCGGTACCGTCGGCGGTGCTCGTAGGTGGACGGGCTGCTGGTGCTGCTGCTGCTGCTGCTGCATGCTATAACCTCAACGGGAGGATACACTGTGGCGTGTCGGAACGCCTCAGCTGTGCCGCGAGATGTGATTTCGCGCGACCTACTCAAGGGCGAACCCTCTCGAGCGTCGAGGATGAGGAACGGCTTCACCGACATACCGGTCGCGAGTGCCGACAGCAGCACGGACGCCATATGGCTCGAGAAAAGCAGTCCGTCGCGGATGGCACCCGAGCGAATGTCACTCAGTACGTCTCTCTCCCGTATACGTTCCGATCGTCGCGCGCGAGCCGCGACGAACTCGGGAATGTCGTATACCGATTTCACGGTGACGTCTCCGAGCTGTTGACAGCTCGGCGCGATCGGCACGCGGAGATCGTTTCGTTGTCGATGAAGCAGAGAGAAATATCGTGCGTCCTTTCTGTTTCTATGTCCGCGGCATTGGAAAATTGAGCTAGCCGTCGCGATCGCGATCGCTCGTACCGATCTCCGATGTCATTCCGGAATCGTTGGGCGAGGAGGTTCACCGAGCGCGCGAATTGACGTTCGGCGGCGGCGAGCTGACATTGGAGCCCAGGAATGTTTACGTTTACGCCGTTTACATTTTACATGTCGCTAATCGCGTCAACGGGACGCAGCGCCGTGTCATCGAGCGCGCGCGCGGGATCAATCGAGGATCCACGATCGAAACTTGCGTCACGTGCGCGACGATTCGGCTCTATCTACCTGCCCGCTTTGCCTTTTGACACTTCAACGCTCTGGGCCGGCGTGTTTACGCAGCACGCCGGAAATTCTGGCTTATTTTGACGCGCCTCGAACGGGCTTAAAATGCGTCCGACGGATCGATTTAATCGGAGCGAAACTCGATGAATCCTCCTGCCTTTCGATTGCCGCGCATCGAAAACACTAATCGGCTTGTACGAGGGAAAAATAGTTGCGCTAAAAAATATTGTTCTTTTTCGAACTCTCTGTCTGTTATCACCTGATTTGAATGTGCGCATGTATTGTGGAACTTTACGGAATTAATTCCCAGGCAGCACACATGTCTAAAAGATGTCTAAGATGTCTTTTAGACACGCATGTCTAAAAAATGCCTTAAAGATATCTTTACGATATCTTTTAGTCATGCGTGCTGTCTGGATTCGGAATAATTCAAATAATCCGAATATTCCGAAAAGTTCTATAACACGTGCCCAGATTTGATTTCTAAATGCGCGTAGTTCTCGGTTGAGGTATACGTAAAAAGTTGATGATTACTGAATTTTACTAATTTTTATTATCTAATGATTGTGTATTACGATTAGTTTTATGTTAGTTGACGTAATAGTGCGGACTAAGCAACACAAAAAAAGTTATTTTTGTACTGGCGCGCGAGAAATTGGCCTACATACTAAATCGATTTAGAATTTATCGGATGTATTTAAAGATGTTGTCGTATAACGATTGTTAAATTTATGTGATAAATAATCGGAAATAAGATTTAGATGGCCTATTATTCACGTTGATCGGTCGATTGAATATAATATTTTATAAACAGCACAATCGTATGTGTTGACAGAATTTCTCTTACTGGCAATGTTTATTATTGTAATCAATTTTCTGGACTTTCAATATAATAAACAACATTAGTTTTCTATGTACACATTAAATTTTTTTTTATTCCAAATGGTCTCTTTGAAAGTCTATTTATGTACCTATATCTAATGTTATTCTGTCATTGCCACGTGACAATAATTAGCAATGCATAATTAGAAACTAAGCGTTAAAAACAACTCAACTTTTGAGAATACGAGGCTTATACGCTTTTCGTTTTTCAGATTTCGAGAAAGTTGTCGTTAAGCAAGAACGTCCAGACGATGCGGAAATCCGTGAACTGGCTGCCAAAATGGTGGAAGCACACAAGGCGAAAATGCTGGCGAGCATGCCAGCGGTGCAACAGCAACAACAGAGGCAGCAGTGCCTCGTACCGCAGCCTAATCTACCCGGTATTCTTGGATACCTGAACAAACGGCCAACCGACGGGCAGTCCGCTCCAAAACCGCCGACGGGTAATTTGGAAAGTAAAGTGCCGACACCCGACGACGATAGTCAGAGAGGACGATTCGGTTGGACGAGCTTCGACGAATGTCACATACCTTATATATTTCGCTCCGGCGAAAAGTATTGCGCCGTACGCATCCTAGAGTCTAAGCTTCTCAACAAGTACCTGAGCTTTCTTCATTCGGACATCTACAGTTGCACATGTATAAGGAGTTACTACATCACGGAGGCCGAGAGCAAGTTGTTCAACGAGATCAACACCAAGCACTGCGAGAATCAGTTCGGAAGGGACGCGTTTACGTGCAAAGACCTGGTGGTGCGTCTCTCGGACGCCAAGGAGTTTTATACATTTCTCGATGTGTGTTACACCAAACTGACCGCCGGTACCAATCCGAGTGTGACCAGCGGACGCAAGGCGGAGAAATGTGGTTTCATACGAATAAACAAAGAATCCGTGGTACCTTACACGGTAAAGGACGGTCTACAGTATGTGCCGCTGTTTTATTTCGAGGGCGAGACGGAAAATCTCAAGCTGAAGGCGGAAAAGCTCGAGGGCTGGGATTTGTCCTACTTGAAGTTTTGCTGCAAGGTACAGGGTATACGTAACGAACTGTTCGCGAGTGAAACGTGTTCGGTGATTAGTCTGAGTGATATTAAGAGTTACTTTCCACCGGGTACCGGCTTCGAGGACTACTGGCCGACCAAGGTTATGGACTCGCAGTTACTGGTGAACAGCAACGGCGGTGGTTCCGGCGGTGGATGGACGAAACAACCGCCTACACCGCCGGCGACCAAGCCTCCCTCCGTGCAGAGCGTGAGTAAAGTGGTACCACCTTTAAACGCTCGTGCCACCGTACCGATACCTAACATAATGCCACGGGGAGCTGTCGTCAGCACGGCACCGCAGATGCCGCGAATAGGGCAGCCGAGACCCGTGTCGACAACGCATCCCGCGCATTCTTCCCCATCGGGACTTCCCGTCAGTAGATCGAGCATAGTGTCGCAGCCTATGATGAATAACGTTCAAGGTGTGGTGAACGGCTGGTCGGGTCTCGTCGGCGGTCAACCTACCTTTCAAACGTCACTCGGCTCTCAGGCTAGCATTATACGAGCGACTCTGAATAATGTGATGCACAACGTAAGCTAATCTTCTTGCATTACAAATTATAATATGCGATGCGAAGTCTTAACCCTTAATGTGCATACGTTTTTTCGGTACCTTCTCTAAGTGCATACGTGGGTATGTCACGTCCAACGCTATTTTTCCCTACCTTAAAGTCTACATCTAAAAAAGTATTTTAAAAAAATCTAAAACAAATATTCATGAAACATCTGTCTGCATTGTAGACGATTATATATAGTCATTTTGATAAACATCGTTTATTTAATGTCTTCTGACAGACTTGCAAGTTTTACAGTTACGAGCAGATATCACTTTGGCTCGGACGCCGTAGACCCACGTATGCATCTTAAGGGTTAAATATAATTTTTTTGTTACAATTGTAGCTTTATGTTTTTATATCACATATCAAACCAAATGTACAACTTTTGATTTTCAGCAACAAATGACCGCTGCTCCCAAAACCTATCCTCAACAGTCTAGAAGTAGAGCGAGTAATAGTGGAGCAGCAGCTCAGTATCCTGTATACCCGACGACAACCATGCCAGGAGTTGTTCAAGCCCAACCACCGCCTCTTATACGAGCAACTGTTCACTCCAATCTGTAAGTTTCAATAGAGCTTTCTAAAAGCTTTCTGATATAGCTCAGTATGTATACACGTGTTATAAGCTCACAAAGCTTGAAATCATTTCAAAAAATATCTTTGTTTTTCTTTTATCAATAGTTTTTTTTGGCAACAATGTATTCTTATACCGTACGCTTGCTTATGATAAAGCAAACCAATTAGCATAGATTGTACGTAATATCCAATTAAACGCACCTATACTTATTTCGTATGTGTATGGCATTTGTGCTGTTTGTGAAAATATAAAACTCATATATTGCGAAAGATAATTTTGGTTTTTAGAACAAAACAAGATTGATATTTCTTTTCAATCAAACAAACTAATGTGTGAAAGTAAAGTTGTGAGAGAAAGAATTTTCACTTTTCGTATACGGCACATTAAGCATGAAATATTAGAGCATTAGAGTCATGTGCTTATCCTAGCTTGAAACATTATGTTTACATACATAAAGCGTAATTATAATATATTTAGAGTATCTGCACCATAGCTTTCTGCATTTGTACATACAACCTATGATTTTTTTTGTATAGTTATCCCACCTATGGGAAGGATGACTGGTGAGTCCTTGTAACATATATTATTGTCATATAGATTATTATAAGAAATAAGATAGCATGCATAAATTTATATTTCTATATGATAAATCATATAGATAATTTTAATATTAATATTTATAATTAATCTACATGACTTACATGACTGTCCTTAAAGCTTCTTTGCGTGATAAATACATTGATTTAGTTGTGAATCTACTGTCACGTCGTAATTTATTAATGTTACTTATGTTTGTCACATATAGTATTCATATATTCAAAAATTTATAATGATTAATGTATGATTTATTATACTGCTGTCAATATATAAACAGAATAGTCCTGTATGTGTCTAGGTATCCAGGTCAGAAATATTTGTTACTTGAAAAGCTCATTTTTACCTGAAAAGGTTTTTTTTACCTGAAAAGGTGTGACCTTTCAGGACGGGTGGTCCTGTAAAGACCAGGCTTTTTATCTCAGAAACTCTTAATCCGATTTTTGTGAAACTTGCTATATAGGGGGTTTTCATGGTATACTTCGAATTTGAAACTAAAATTTAAAATGGACTCAAATTTTTAAATAATGCAATTTATATGAAATTTTATATAGGTTTTTGAGGTCATTAAGTTCAATTCTAATCTCAGATCTTCAACTCGTTAGAGCAGTGCACAAATTTCTGCGCTACGATCGCAGAATAATAGAAAAACACTATTCATGTCATTAACTCGAGTATATACGAAACAAGTTAAACGTATCCCGTTCTGAGCAAATTTATTATTTCAAATTTTGTAATTATAAGGTTATATTCGAATTTAGCGAACTCAAAAACCTATACAAACTGAGTTTCACGCAAATTGCATCACTATTTGAATATTGGGTCTGCCGTAAAAAGTGAAACTCAAACTTTAAGAAAGCTATATATTTCCATTCTGGCCGTTAAAAGGACGCCAAAGTGCCGGCTTTTTTATTAAATAAAAATATTACAGCTTTTCTCAAACTTTTGTTAGTATTTTATATTAAAAAAAAAACCACTAATAAATGTATAATATTTATTCGAGTTCAGACAATAGCCACACTGAATAAGAAAATTTTTGGTTTTTGCGTTTCTGATGCCTAGAACAGCTACAACAGAATCATTTACACCTTCTAGTGACCAGAATATAACATAGAAAAGAAGAGCCTTTTTATTACTTAAAAAATAAAAATATATTCTTAAAATAAGGCTAAAAGAACATGCAAAATTTAATGTTATTTGCTTTCTTCGTTTCCATACAAAAAATTCCTGAAAAGTACCTTTTTTCATGACCTTTCAAACCAGAATATCCCCTTATTGATTCTAACGTAAAATGATGTGCTATATAGAAATTATTTATCAGGATGTCTAGGTGGTAATATTCCGAGTAGTATAAGTAGTATCTGAGATGCAAGTAATGGATGAAATAACTGTTGACAGCATTATTATAAATCTATTTGTAAAACTGATTTTTCTATTGAATTGATTAATAAAGTATGTTTATATAATATACAGTGTCCAATAATAGGTGTAACATCGCTGTGGGGAGGTAGAGCGGGTTAAATTGAATAGAAAAGTTCATTTTGTGATTTTCCTAATAATTAATAAAATATTAATTAATAAAGACCAGTATGCATCCGTGCGATTGTAAGCGCGCGACCGCAAAAGGCCGCCTAACGTTATGGCGATTGCGGTTGCTACGCGTGCAATAAGGCATTGCGAGGAGCGGGCTTCTAGCAAGCAACAGCCAATGATGCGTAATATTTATAATTAGGCTAACTTTTACTGTATGTTTTTTAAATCGCACAGATGCATGCTCCCTCGCAGGGCTTTATTAATTAATTTTTTATTAATTATTGCGAAAATCGTAAAATGGTAGAGAACTTTTCTGTTCAGTTTAATCCCCTCTACTTACCTACCTACGAGTGGTGTGTTACATCTATTATCAGACACCCTGTATACATGCACATAGTTATTTTTATATAAATTTCATTTTTTACTCTTACAAACTAATAATGCAAAAGAATGTATTCATTAAAAATTAAATTATATTTTGTTTCATTTGTAACAAGCACAAATATAACAGTATGTAATTTTACTATGACTGCATAAGTTTTATATTGTTTTTGTGCGATGTATTAAATATTTTATTAATTTATGTAAATTTATTTAAATGCAACAAAGATGCAACAAATAAACGTACACGCAGAATAGACATTCATATTTATTGCCGAAGAGGCTAAAGACTTTAACGACAGAATAAATAAATAAATGATAAAATTAGTAACAATTATTTTTAGAAATAGTGAAAAATAATATAACTAATTTTTGTATTTCAGGGTGACCACTACGTATACAACACCTACGTTAGGTGTACCTAACGCAGTCACAGGAACGACATATCCACAGATGCTTGGTTTAAGCGAACAAGTCCAAGCTTTAATGCCAGTACCTACATCTACGCCAAATTTATTACATCCACAAAGGCATACACCATCTGTGCATAACACATCTCATGCAAAATACCCACCTCCTCTGATACCAGTCAATGGTAGCAGCGGCAGCAGCGGCAGTTCCAGGTACATATCATTACTTATCATTATTTTAAGGGAAGCAAATAAATAAATATGGGATGAATGGAGGTTTTTTGTTTCAGCATTTATAAATGCGCTTGATTCAACTAATAAATAGCAGCGTTTACGTTTAAGTTATTTTTTAGGGATTCCCGAGGGAGGAAACCATTGATACCAATATCGGAACCACATATATCTTCTTGTCATGTACAACCATACCAAATACAAAAAGCGCTAATTGAAGAAAAGATGGTACCCTGTATTAATTTCAAACCTTATATCTATACTGAATTGTTGATGACACTTCCCGACTTTGTTTCCAATTTTTTTCCTGCCTGTGACATCGAGAGTTGTAGACAAGTCCTTACAGATGTGCTACATATAGACTTATATCAAGGAAATGGGTAAATATATAGATGAATAGGACAATGATGACTAATAAATAAGATAGTGATGATACTTAGCCTATCATATTCTATAAAATAATCCATTTTTATATAAAAAAAAAATAACTTTACAGGCTACAAATGAAGATGTTAATGGAAGCAGGCAAATGTTCTTCGCATACAGAAGATCTACCTTTAATCCAAGTTAGGAGTATAATGAAATACATGCCACAATTCAAGTATATGTTCAATAGAGGAGATATGGTCATGCCTTCCCCAGCTCATTCGTCTGAAGAGCACCCATCTAAAAAGCGTCAACGTACCAGCTAGGATTGGCTACAGCCTTACTGGCCTACTTATGATTATTACCATTCGGCATTCTAAAGCCGATATCGATGGTCTCATCGATATTCCCGTCATTGTGTTTTGGAACGCCTTTAAGAGAGATAGGCGTATCTAAAACAAAAGATAATTCGCGTATGATGCGCGATAAAACGTACATTGACTGATGCTTCAAGTGTAAAGTGATAGTGGTGAGCTATTTCTTTCTCCAAAGTGTATCGAAGAGGACACGACTGTAAATAAAATTAAAACGTGTAAAATTAAAATATGGTTGACAATTCAGATCTGCTTTCTACGTAGAAAGATTTACTTCAACGGTCGACATTAGATATGAATAACTCTGCCAAATTTTTGTATCGACTCTTACTATCTCCTTCTTGCATCATTTATAACGAGCCAGATGTGTGTAAATAAAAGGTGTGCTTTATCTCGGAAGAGGCGATACGCATACGATAGAATTGCTATCTTCTGCCAAATTATCATCGAATTTTTTTTCGGTGCGGTCCTTATTAGAATAAAGCGTCTTGGTTGTGCGTGTTTGTCGGTTGCCAAGATGCGAGCAACAAGGATAGTGAACGTCGACACGAGAATCGGGTCGAAAGTTTCATTTGATGCCGACCATTGATTTATTTTCATTTTCGAGAGACCTGTTATATAATATAAAGATCACCCTATATTGTCGCAGGATAAAATAGACCTAAGATAAAAAATGATCTTATTTTCAAGTTAAATGTATTCTATCATTCCACACACATTACATATACTCTTTCGTCTCTTCCCCTTCCACGTACGCGCGCGCGCATACACACACACACACACACAAACACAAACACGCGTGCAACATAACAAATATTTATTTCTACCTCTTTGCACAACAGTGAATACTATTCTTTTCGACTTCGTGCTCTATAATGTTTCTTGTTATATATTAGTATCTTGCGTATATGAAAAAAAAAGTGAAAGTTCTGTTTTAAAGTAAATTCGGAGAAAGAAAATGCTGTTATCCCATTTGTAAATTGGCATAACGTGCTATAGAGTTATTCATAATGAATAACCTATTTTGCATATTAAATGTATATCAATAAAAAAGCGAAAAATGGAAGTAAAGCTTCTTCAAGTTCCTAGCTATTATTAGTGCGTATCCTGATAACTAGCTACAAGCTAATTTAAAAGCGTTAGGCCATTCATTTATTGCGATAATTTTGCGTGAGTTTTTATACGATTTTCATAAAACTTGTTAAAAAGCGTTAAGGTAATTTATTGAACAGTTTTTGTTTCGAGTGTTTAAAAAGAAGTATATTGTACACAGAGGAATGTGGTGGACGTATGGAATGAAAATAAAGAAGTGGAACAAATGCCTATTTAATGTGAAAAGATGGCAGTGAGCAATATCTTATGGACTACGTCTTTAGAAGATACGAATAATGTACAAGATCTGACTTTGACATAATTGACAAGAAAATGAAGCTGACATTTACTTTTTACGTTTCTTTTTAAATATAATTATGAATAGCATTTCGCAATATTGCTGCTGCATCTTTCTGATATTCGCATTGTAAACTTTTGCTTTAGGCAGCGAATTTTCCGAAATTTGTTACACAAAGGTATCTAAATTTAACAATTCTTAAGCCTCAATGAAGACCAGTATCTCGTGATGGGTTTAGATGAAAATTTACCAGTGGCCCTATTCTGTAATACTTAACGACAGTTTCGTTATCGTTATATCGCATAGCTTTTTTTACTATATATAATATCTGCAACGCGAATATAACGATAACGAAACTGTCGTTAAGAGTTATAGAATCAGCTCCCGGGTCGGATAAAAAGACAGCATCGAAATAGGAGCATACAAAGTGCATAAAAGTGTACGACAAACAATATTTATTCATGCAAATGTGTTATACGCATTGAGAATGGTAATCGATAAAGATCGCGATGAAAAAAGTGATCTAATCTAACAAAGAAAAGGCGGTTTTGCTTAAAGCGAAGGCCAGATTCAAATGTACAATTTGTGACGTCTCTAACCCACTTCACAGATACATTAAATTTATGTACGCATTTGAAAAATGTTCAACCTATGTAGAAAGCTATTTAAATATTTATATATGAATATAACACGAAAATGCGACAAAAAAGAAAAACATTCAAATGGTGAAAAGAAATCTGGTTGATATTTAAAGCCACGTTAAAATAGTCTTCCACACGAGCGATTCATATAAATACGTCACAAATCAAATTTTGTTCAGTTCAATAAATTTTCTCTAAATATCGACATTATATTAATGTGTTTTCGATAATTGTCATTTATTTCCATTTACAATAATAAAGAGTGCAGGACGCGATAGCGGGCCCTCCAGGGCAGTGTATAAAATGCTATTTTATCTCTTCTCGATGGGACGGAGGATTAAAGAGTTATCGACCAGCTATATATATATATATATATGTATGCATGTATGTATGTATGTATATACATATATATATACTTTCGTCATTTACTAATTTTTAGTGTAAGAAAGCTCTAAAACAAGTGTACATGGCAAACAAGTGTATATAAAGAGATAATTATAACGACTGATTCACGTCGAACGTGGATCTTCCGCGTAAGGCAGATATTGTTTGGATACTCTGTCGTAGTGAATATAGTGTATTATTTATGAAGCGATATTTTGTGGTATTACGATTTGAAAGACACCTTGCATTGCGCTATCGAGAGACTTTGGACTGGTATATCTTACTGTTACAAACAAAAATGATTCAAGAAAATGTAGAAGAAATCCGAGGATGGAGAAAAAAATATGCCTGGCGATTTATTATTTAAATAAAAACATTTTTGAGAGCGGTGATATTATTTTATTTAATCGACGTTAAACGTTGTCTAATTTTAGTTTTTACATTCTATATTCTGCGTTATGTACACAAACGGCCGATTTAGCGGATTTATTGTCCGAAATAGTATACTTTTTATTTTGCGTTTCGTTTTTTATTTCGTTCACGAGTACGTAAGTTTAATTATATCGAACAATGCTATAATTTGCGGAAGGATATGCACATATGTATACGTGCAACGAAGGAAAGTATACGTCGACTTTACTTTGCGATTGTTTGCCGCGAACAGAAAAAAGCGTCTGTTGAAATTTTTTTCAGTTCTTTCAATGGGAAACGCGTACCATTTTATTACTTCGTAAATCGTGTTGCGTGCGCGATTTTATTCCTCTCGAGGTAAACGCAAGAGATGGCTCCAGTCCAAGACGTATAATATCATTTTTAATATGTTAGATTAGCACATTTATTTGTTAACGTTTGTTAAAACTGTGTATTATACTTTATCACGCTATCATTTGTACATATAGAGCGTAAGGAAAATAGGACTATTAGATATTTCAAAATAAATTCATGATACAATCAATGGAAGCCAGTTATTTTTTTCGCGTCCTATGTCCTTCGTGCGCGCGCGCATTTTTTTATTGTACATACGTTAAATTATACAGGATGTCTGATTATAGGTACAACACCGCTCGTGAAGAAGTAGAGCGGGTCAAACTAAATAGAAAAGTTCTGTATCATTTTGCGATTTACTTAATAATTAGTGAGAAATTAATTAATTGATCTGCGAATCAACGTACATCCATGCGATTGTAAACACGCGGCGAGGCATGGGGAGGAACGTGTTTCTAGCAACGGTAGCCAATGATAATAATGCTGGGTTGTCTTTTATCGCACGCTCATTCGCAGATCTTTATTAATTAATTTCTTATAAATAATTGTGAAAACGCAAATAAGAATTTTTCTATTCGGCTCCATCTACCCACTAGTGCTGTACACCTAATAATTAGAAATCCTGTATAATATATTATATGTTAATATATTTATAAATATAAATATAGATAGGTTCAATATATAAATTTCTTGAGTAGAAACTTAAAATTCCCGCGCTTCTCTTTCCCAAAGTTTGATCGATCGACTCTTGATTCTGTTCCGCGTTTTGATTTCTTCCCAGTCATTTTAATTCTTTTAAGGAACATATAATTTAAGCAACGAACCGAAAAAAATTAATTTAATTAAAGTCGTTTTTGCTGCGGGAAAATTTGATACAAAACTGCAAGCGATAGACCAACGGTGTGGATGGCCGTAGCGATTTCTTGCCAACTTTTATTGTTCTTTATAGAACTCATTGAAACACCGAGTTGTTTTACAACAAAGAAAACATCGATTTTTAGTTTTTGTTCACTTTTGTAATATAAACATTAAATATAAAACTTGAAGCATTAACAACATTTAGTTGCTGAGCAATCGTTGATGAAATAATTAAGCGTCGAGTGCTTATAAACGTCTATAATAAATTTAAGCTGAGTGCCTAAAGACATCAGTAGCAATCAAATGATTGTAAACTTACAGATCTCGGGGGACGGGGGGGAGGCTTTTAAAACCCATTTTAAACACGTCACGCGCGCGCAATGGCCCGTAACTTGTAACCACAGCCTGCACTCGCGCCGGAAGTACGTCACCCTGGGGACGTTTCGACCGACGTCGGCGAGATGGCGCCGCGTCGGCGGCGAAGTGCAACGAGCCCGCACGAGTGCGGCCGAGGCGGCTGGTCGCGGTCGCCATTTTGTTCGGGTAGTCATCGGAATCATCTTGTCTCTGTCACCACGGTTAATTCGTCCGTGTCTCGTTCGGACGGGGTAAAAAGCCGCCGACTGTGCCCGCCGTACGCCGTATACGCGCCGCTCCGCCCGTACGTCGCACCGCAAATGGCTTGTCTGAACACCCTCAAGCAGGAAATCAAAACGCTCGAATCCGTCTTCCCCAAGAGCCATGAGAGGTTTCAGATAATGTCTGCGAGCGTGGACGAGCTCAGCTGCAGATTCGTCGGTAAAAATGGGAAGAAGTACGAAATACACGCCAATATCACAGTAAGTGCAGTAACACACGCGCGTTACATGGCAAAGAAGGGACCGGGGGGGGGGGGGGATATCTCCGATTGTGCCGCTCTTAGGACGATCGTTAGGCATCTATCTTCTGTGAGTGAACGAGTGGAGTGCGTTGAGTATATACCGTATATACGGTACACGTTCGTTTCGTTTCGCCGCTTCGGTCCTCGTCTCGTTCATCCGTTCATCCCCGTTTCGGGCCGGACGGACGGACGGACGGACGGACAAAGGAGACGACGACACTCCGACGTTTGTTTGGTGGTGCCGCGGAACGGGATCCTCGCCGCCGAGATCGCTCGATTACCTGCCATCCCTCACGTCTCCCGTTCTCGATCGTCTCGCCACGCCGTGCGATCGATTTTTTCTATTCTCCTCCGCGAGGACTCCGTCGGCGGATTAAACGGCGCGGATCGAACGAGAGTCGATGCCCGTCCCCTCGCGCGGGGAGTATCCACCGTTCCGGGATCTCGCGGGCATTGTTTTTTTTTTTTGCCTTACACCGCATGTCAGAGACAAAGGTAGAGGAGAGAAGAGCACCCGGGGACAAAGAAGATCTCGCGCCTCGTGACGTTCCGCGTTTAGGAAACGCAATTCAATCGACGGCGCGGTCTTTTTTTCTCTCTTTCTTGTAACGTCGAGGCGCAACGGTGCCGCGTTTTCTGTCTGTGTACATACATACGTGTCCGCGATGTCAGCATGAGTAACGAACGTCGCAATCGAGCGCGATTCTTTTGCAACGCGCGTATATTTGCCTGTCGTACGATTACAGCGTGGGTATTTCAGCATCATTGGCCGATTACGCGACAGATGTCGGTGTGTGCGAGTTTATTTTTTTTTTTCGGTGTTTTTCTTGCGTGCGTGTTTAAATGTACATACAACGTGTGCGCTTGCGTGTCGTGTATGGCGAGAGGTACGGTTCTCTGTGTTGAAAGTTTGTTATCTTTCGTTTTACAACACTCTCCCGGGGGTTTCTACAATCCTTACAATACGGTCTCGGTGCAATTGAACCGCTTATGTTGTCCCGCGCGCGTTAAGGTATATGAATTGATTTTTGTTCGTCCCATCCATAACGCTGCATCAATATTAATGGTGTTTACGTAGGAAACCTATCCTTCAACGCCACCCGTCTGGTTCGCCGAATCCGAGGAGACTAGTGTTACGAACGCTGTACAAATTTTAAGTAACACGACCGGCCGCGACAACCATGTAATCAACCAAGTTGGTATCCTGCTGAAGGAGTTATGCAGACTACACTCGTTACCGGAGCCACCGGACGTCGAAAGGCTGAGAACCGCCTTGGATCCCTTACGTTTAGGAGGATCGAACGAAGCTGTGGCGCAGAGGATGGACGCCGAGGACCTAGACGATATCGACGAGGATGAAGAGAGCGAGACTGAAGAAGACCTTCATCTGGATATGGACGAAGGAGACGCTAATTCTAAGAATAAGGTAAAATGAGAGAAAGTTACACGATTGGTTTTTACTATTACTTTAGTTACCACTGTTGTTAATCTTTGTCTAATTGATCTCAATCTTTAATGATACAGAGCGAAGAAATGGACTTGGAACACCTCGCGACATTGGAAAGGTTGAGACAGAATCAGAGACAAGATTATTTAAAAGGATCTGTTTGTGGAAGTGTACAAGCCACTGACAGACTTATGAAGGAGCTGCGTGATATATACCGAAGTGACAGCTTTAAAAAGGGTATGTTTAAGTTTGTGACTACAATCAGGCCAAATTTTATTGATTATTATACGTGCATCATATATATACAGTTTGAACAACATTACGTCACATGAGACAGTTCCTGAGAAATATCCTCTACCTGATTGACTATAGACAATTTTGAGTTCTTTATATATCTAGTTACAATTAAAAATGAATTAGATGTTTTGTCAATATATTTTTAAATCTTGTGAAATTATTTGTTGTGAAATTTCTATTGGACTTTTGAAAGAATATGGCAGTTCATGATCTGATATGTCACTGTTTGTATTTAATCGGAACATATTTTGTGAACTATGACTTGTGTGATCCACTAGATGCTTCAAATGCTTCAGAGCATTATTTTTTTTGTTTAACATTTGATAAACAACAAGGATGAAATGTTTCCAAGAGCGTTTGGAGCGCCAAGTGGATCGCACCCTTGATATTAATCAGATATTGTCAGTTCAAAATTTTGTTGTCGAATCTAATATTTCAATGACAATTTTTATTCTATGAACTTTCGGTTTAGTTTATATGAGTTTATATAAACTTTTTTGTTTATTATGAGTTAAAAAAATTTACTTCAGAAACTTGTCAAAAGAATTTCGAAATATCCTACATGTATTTGATTTTTTCTTTCAGGAATGTATAGCATAGAACTAGTAAATGACAGTTTGTATGAATGGAATATCAGATTGATGTGTGTAGATCCCGATTCACCACTTCATAGCGATCTCATTCTTTTGAAAGAGAAAGAGGGCAAAGACAGTATTCTTCTCAATATGCTTTTCAAGGTAACTTATTTGTATATAATTAAACTTAAGATTTAAGCTTTATAATAAGATGTATTTATTAATTTGCAATTTTTAGCAATTTTATCTAAATTTTCTTTCAGATGTTTTATTCTAAATTTTTATTATCGTAGGAAACTTACCCATTCGAACCTCCATTTGTAAGAGTCGTACATCCTATCATATCTGGTGGATACGTTCTCGTGGGAGGTGCCATTTGCATGGAACTTCTTACAAAACAGGGATGGAGTTCGGCGTACACGGTAGAAGCTGTTATAATGCAGATTTCAGCGACGTTAGTGAAGGGGAAAGCGCGTATACAGTTCCAAGGATCAGGTGGCGCTGGCAAAGTGTGTGGTGGACAAGGCCAATACAGTTTGGCACGTGCCCAACAGTCATTCAAGTCTCTTGTACAAATACATGAAAAGAATGGTGAGAATTCACTTGTTTTATACTATGTTAATTCGTTAATTGTTACATCGCTCAAAAAATATTTCGACAGGTTGGTTTACACCTCCAAAAGAGGATGGCTAATGAAGACCGGATTGCGGAAAAATACCGAAGATATGATACATGCTTACAGCTGAGACTTTAATTCGGTGTGTGCCCAACAAGTAATTGTTATGATAATGATTTGATACACAAACACAGCAGTAACTAGGTAACTTAAGATACTGAATTAATCTAACATATAATTCCTTTGATGGCTAAAAAGGCTGCCGTACACCTTGGTTACGTATCCATATTTTTTTTCTGTCATTAGTAGTTAGATCGCGAATTGTATCGATAAATGTAAGGTATCATTTCGCTTGAAATTGATTCTTATGTTTCGAGAATCCCAGTTATTACTATATTGTAATATAGTAATTTTATGTACTCCTTGAAGATACATATGTTGTACGTGCGAAACGGTGTAACTATTCTGAAAAATTGCGCAATCGTGCTTCCTGTCTCTTTCACGGGAAAAGATTATGGTCGACGTTTTAGATCAATATATTACTGGACAAATTTTAAAATTTTTCCTTTTATTATTTTATCACTTTCCTTATTTTCTATAAATTATGTTCTGTGTATTTCAATGACAAGGCTATATTTCTTTGCTGTATATGCCGTGAACAAGTAAAAATAATGGTAGTGAAAATGCATCTCTTGAAGAAAAATGTATATTACTTATATTCTTGAAATCCTTTGCCAGGCATCTCGTAAATGCTATCCAAAAATTACGTGAGTACACACAACCAAAACGTTTCTTAAAAAAAAATTATGTGCAAAGAAAACGGCTAAATAGAATATAAAAGTATAGTTTTACTATCGGGAGGCTCTAGAGAATACGATCATAGAAGTTACAAAAGTCTGCAAGCTTTTCAGACTTGCAATTAAATATGTTTTGTAAAACTAATTTTGTCTATATCAATATTAATCAAGTCAGATTTTTGACACGAGAAGCGATATTTTTTTACATTCGGCGAATAGTATATTTCGTAGCGTTTTTGGATTAGATGAAACGTAGATCTTACAATGTTTGTATTGTATACGATGCAATAATTAATATGGATGTTTATCTTTTTGCATAGAACGTAAGAGTGAGAGTCAGATGCGAATATATAGATGCTGTAGTAACATATTTTCGTTTTTAAAATAGTAAATATTACAAAAGTTTATACGTTGGTCTTTTTTCTTTGCAATATTATCGAGACAAACGGCTTATAGCGTTCAATAATATATATGTATATCCCATTGTGTGTAATATTCAATCGAATATAGGAATTGTATAGATGTATATAACGCAAATACTCTTTAGAGTCTTTATCGGAGGGCATAAATGCAGTAGAAGCTTAAAAGTTTTGGTTGTGTGTTTCATCTACAAATCCATTCTAAAATCTATTCTCCATTATTTTCTCTATGACACAATCTATAAGATGTAAAATCATATATTGTATATGCAAGATATAATTTTTTTAATAAGAGATGCGCGAGCTAAAACATTTATTCATATGGAATTAATTCTTATGTGCAAATTTGTTTTCGAAGAACTGCGTGAGTTCCATGCAAATGTTAGAGTTCTAGTAATTACGAGAGGTAATTTTTTCAAGCGATTTACACGCACTCGGTAACAATCGACTATTGTTCGTGTAAGCGGTAAATGGCCAAAGTGTTACGTACGCACTTCTAAAGCGAATTTGTCCATTAGAATTAAATGTAACAATATAGTAATGTTTGTAACTTTAGTGAATCTAATTTTTGCTATCAATTATACCTGTAAAGGTATACCCCTTTTTCACAAAAATTGTATATCTGTTATCGGTAAATAGATATTTCCAACACGGCATTGAAGTTGAGTTGCTGAAATTGAAAAATTACGTTAATTGATAATCTTCAGATTTGTATCGCACTTCTAAGCATTTATAATGCAGTTTGTTTCGTACATACATACATAGATACACACGTCCTGGATTCATAACATGCATATACCACATACACATATATACATACGCATTCTGTTCCTTATGCTTCATCTTCCTACGTAATTTCGAACGCGTAGTTTCTGCGACCATCATGTTCATTTGCAAACACGTCAAACGTGAACATTTATGATTATATATCGATTAAGAGTAGTCATATTATTTTCATAAGAGTCGAGGAAATCTGTCATTTTCGTTGTAAATATCGTCAATCGAAACAACCAATTATGACGGTCCATAACTGTTATACTTCAGGGATTTTTATTTCAGACGTATTACTTTTTTTATAATATTATGTTAGGGTAACGTGGCTGCGTAATTATCGTGTTTGCTTTCGTTAGAATGAATGAATATACCTGAACGCCTATTAATCGTATGGAGATGGAGCAGTACATATGTTATTGGCAATAACGCATGTACGATGTATCAGTACACATGATTATCGGTATAACTGGATCGAGTAGCGTGGGTCACTAGGTTTCGTTCGCGGTACAGTTAAACTCGTTTGTGAGCAAATCGTCATATGAGCAGTATCGTCATATAAATAAATAGATTCTTAAGTATAGGTGTGCGATCATCGAGCTCGTTGTCAACGGGTACCCACGATTTGTACAGCCGCCACCCGTTTGACACTGAGTACTGGTTGTTCGACGTCGTTAAACGTTATGTTCTTTGCCAAAACTTCGTGTCGTCTGTTAAGTTTTATTTTTTTTTAATGTAATAAATGCGTATGATCGCGGGGAGCAACGTGACATGTGTATTTTTGCTACAAATATCATTAAGACTCTTCGTTTTCTTAACACGACATTCGACATTCGGTTCTCGCCGAATATTCGTGACGATTTCAGAAATCTCAGAGTCTCGATGTAAGGTTTAACATGTCGCACGCGATTAGTTCGAATTAATTACATTTAATAAACGAGATAACTACACGATTGACGAGAGGTGCGTACTAAGATAAGATAATAATTCCGCGCGCGGAACGTACTCGGGATTCGTTCCGGATTAAACATTTTTGACGAGAGAATGTGAGCCTAAAGGACAAGTGGAAGTTTTGAATTAGTCGGTTATTACATGACTCCGGGATGCATTTCTCAAATCTTTAGATTGTGTGTGGTAATGTAGTTGTCAAATTTTTGTTATGTATTCGAGGGTAATCTTTCTATTTGAAGACTGAATAAAAGTAGAACTTGAACATACTTTTCTTCCACGTTACATTTGTAAAGTGTGTCTTTTACGCGATGGTTGGAGATTCGCGAGCATGAGAATAAAAGATACTCGAGCAATTTATCCGCGTCGAATGGGGGACTTTCTACGTACTTGTGAATATGGAAACATGAATTATGAAATTGTGATTCTTGAGATTTTCGTACGAAGGCATTAAGTGCCAATTGGGAAGGTGGATATACATATCCCATTCCGAGATGTATTTGTGGCAAAAATAGTCGTCTAAAGTCTCTTCCAAACCAACTCATTTGTTCCAACTTTTCACGTTTCGCTAATGACGTGGATATGTTTATTATGCGTTAAGTAAATGCGAATAATTGATTGATGTAATGACAAATTATTTCTTTTTGTTTAAAGGGAGAGCACCCGGTTCACGCGGAACATAAATAAGTGAACTGAAGCGACTGTAAAAACATGATACAAGCATACTTATGGAAATTATTACATCCACGTGTACCTGGTTACAGATCCGCATTCTTATCAAGACAGAACGACAAGTTATAATCTGCGTTTCGCTTGAACCGTGGTATTTGATCGTATCCATTTGATACTCGGGATGTAACGACTTTGTGTATCGTGTTAAGTATATGATATAACTTAACTCTCATATTATAACATTTTCTGACGAGGGTATAGACTTCCGGATTGAAGCAGTGTGTGTATGTGTGTGTCGTACGCGTCGAGAGAAATCGCGATTAGAATTTTCTTTATTTTTAGTTCTGGTCGCAAATCGTCCTCTCCACCTTTTCCGCAAACGTTATCTTGGGTGTCGTTTCTTTTCTCGACGTAGACGCGATGACGATCCCCGAGTCTAAACCCATAAGTTAACTTATGTCTCTACTCTGTCTGCGTACCTATTTGCGTAATTAACTCATTGGTCAACCGAGAGATCGATTAATTTTTGTTAATCGGTCGCGTCGTCTTATTGTCAATATCTATAATCTTAAGAGTACTCTACGTATCTTAAATCTGCTCCACTTGTATATCGTACCATTACTGATTTGAGTGAAAGTTTCCATAATTCTAATATATCGAGCATTATACTTTCTCTCTCTTTCCTCCTCTCTCTCTCTCTTTCTCTCTTACACCACAATTTCACGTTAAGTTACGTTAATTATTGTTTAGGAGAACGCTACGAAACACAAAAAATAAAGATTTTAATAAAAAAAACTTATTTGAATTGTGTACATATACATACACACGTGCGCCCTTTTTATATTTACAGATACATTGTCAGGATATGACGAATGATTAAATTATCGCGCCGTCTATCGTCTCCGATGATTTCCAATTTAATTTTCAATATATAATGAAGAACGCTAGTAAATTGTGAAATAAGATTCCATGTACCGACGAAGGTAAATAGTGGAATATATACGATTCGAATCGTGGCGCATAAATGAGATGCGCGAAACTTTTGAAATTTAAGACTCGGAGCTACGTTCAGTACGCGTGGAGATCCGCGGCGTGAAATCTGGAGATCAAATCGATCGAGGTCATCGATAGAAGACTCGGCGCTACGTTCAGTACGCACTACGCGCGAAGATCCGCGACACGATAGTAATGTCGTCACATTCGTCACGACCTTCGCGAGTGGCAGATCGTCGGAGAGTTACGCGTCGCCTCGCCGCGATAATCAAGTACGTACATCCGTCGAAAAATCGCTGATTTAAAAAGAAGTAACGTAAGCACGCCGGTGAAAGAATTATCGTCACGTTTTGTGCCGCGTTCGGGTCGCGACGCGACGTGACGTTTCGAACGTCGAAGGGACGACGGAAGTTTCAATTCATAATGAATACCGCGCGTTCGGCCGGCCGTATTTAACGCGTTTATCTCGCCGTTCTCGCGTTTTTCTATAATATCGGCGTTCGCGACCATCGAGCGAGCATTGTGTTTGATAAATGATTCACGGTGGCCGTCGAAGCATCACGATTAACGTCAGATGCGTCGGATTAAAAACTGGCGGAAATGGCGGATATGGCGATCGGTAAGTTACGTTCGTTTTTTCGACTCGGCGCGGCGTGCGCCATTTACTTGCGATTAATTAAGAGCGCAATCGGGATTATTGATTGAGCGTGTTTTACGAAGCGATTTAAATTCTTCATCTTTCGCAGAGATCTATTTTATTAATTTATTGATTTCACGAGTAATTATATATACGAGGTCTGTCTGGGAAATGCGTCTGAACTTTTCAAATAGGAAGTCTCCCGGCTCATCTAATTGTAAGAGCCTATTCAGCCTTATCGCCTTCGGAGTACCGCCCCTTCATTCGGCATGATACGATCACGGCGCTGCTCTCTGCTGGTGTTTCTTCCATGTTTTGAAACATTCTTGGAACGCTCCTTCGCGAATTGAATATTACGCAGGCAAATTTTCTTTAATCGAATCGATTGACTCAAAATGATGGCCTTTAATTAATGCACTTCACATAAATTCGTTGCTCGTGAAAATCACTCGTTTCAATCAACATAAAAATCGCGCGCGGAGCACATGGTCACAAAATCAAATAAAACACAAAATGACTAACCGGAAGTAACTGGTATAGATTTCACTATGAGGTTTGCAGATCTTGTCGCTGGAGCGTAGCACAAGCTGCGTCTCACTAAAGCCGTGTTTCAAAATTCACTGCCAGTGTTGGGAATCTACAATACACGTAACGTATACTACAGATATTCAGCGTTGACAATCAATTTTGGCCTATGGAGCTTTCCAACCAATAGAGTATTTGGCTTATGTACTAAAGGGCTCTGTGTTTCAGCCGTATTGTAAGGCGTTGGGGTCTATCCAGACAAACTTGCACAAGTGCATGAGCATATGCATAAGGAAATAGATTGATCAATTTTTTTATGCACGTGTATATGGACCAAACCATTTCCTTATGCATATATATATATACAATATATAGATTATGATAGTACGATCACGTAAATACATTGCTGTTTGTAGATTACTATGTAATGCTTAAAGAAATCAGGCCTTTATATTTTTTATAATAAAAAAAAGAGACTCCCACACAACTTACAGCGTTGGTGCGCTATTTCAAAAGTTAGGGAATTTTCCAGATAAATCTCGTGTATGTATAATAAATGAAAAATTTATTGAACGATTTATTTCTTTAGTTATTTTATCAATTTTTTCTATAATCTTAATAATTTATTAGTCTTGATTTTATCAAAGATTTTATTTGGATAAGATGGATTAGTGAAAATATTTTAATCAATTTTAATGACATGATGAGAGAGATGGATTTATAATAATTATGGTAATTTAATAATTTATAATATGATCGTGATAATTTAATGATGATAGAATAATGAAATAATTTTCACGTAAAGAAATTGCTCGATTAAAACATTTTTCTACAATAACGAATGCATTTTGACAATGTCTTTTATAATTGACGCCTAAGGCTACGTTTCGATATTCACTGCCATGCTGAAAATCTATAGTATACGTGACGTAAACTATAGATTTTCAGTACTGGCTGGTGAACATCGAAACGCAAGCCTGACTATCAAACAATTTTTGTAATTATCATGAGGTAATCATGTTCGTTCGAGATAATCATAATCATAATTCTAATCGTAATCAATTATCATTTGATACATCTAGGATGAGTAATGCGTGAATTTTCTATATTTATTATACGAAGTAAAATAGATTGTCGCTTTACGGTTTACGACTGGGTCCAGATCAAGTGAATGGAGTGCGAATCCGCGATGTTCGCATTTGATTACATTGCGATTAATCATAACCATTCATAACAATCGATGCTTAGAATTTTTCCACTGAGCCAACCAATCAAAAGGTTCTATATTGATTTTGGCAATTATGCGAACGATTGAATGCCATTTGTTCGCATCCACTGAAGCAAGCTGTTCATCCGTGCTCGTTCGCTTCGTCCGGATCTAGTTTTATCCACGCAAACGCGCGACTACACAATTGATAATACCAGAAATATTTGTAAAAATAGAACGTTCCATTTTTCCGGTGCTTGAGGGGAAAGAAAGTAGCGCGAAAATAGGATTTCGTTCTGGCTATCGAATTTTTACGACATTCGCGCAAAGCTTGTTTACAGAAAGCATCGTGCTGCTTTCGAATCCCTCTTATCTCCCAGTTTTCACAGCTAGTGCTTTATTCACCCAACTAACGTCAAAAACAGTGTTATAAAACAGGTTGATCGGACGGTCTCTCCTCTCTTTAATTAATTATTTAATCAAAAGACCGATAAGAGATCTTTCAGGCTCCAATATACTTGTATAAAATTAACTTACGTAAAACTCGTGTTAATCGGGATTAGACTGATTGGCCGTAGAGCTAAAGGAAAAGTCAGATTCAGAACATAAAGTTTTTTCGCAAATCTTTTTCTTGTATATACATATATATACAATATACATATAGAAGCGTGTAAAAATATATTAAAATTATAATAAAAAATTTTATTCTTGTAAACTGAATTCTGTATCATAATGGATATTCATGTAAAATTGATATCGGGAGAATATCTTTTATGAATAATATATATACATATAATATTTTAATTAATGAAACATTGATATTACTGGGTTCCGTATAACCTATCGAGAAAAATATCCCGTGTGCACTCGTCATGATTGCACAAAGGGGATTTCAAAAGTGAATTGCATTTAGCTCACGTAATTAGTAGTCAAGTTCGGCGAAATTCCGTTTCGACAAGGTTCAACAGTATTGCCTGTTATATATACGTGATCGCGCGTTGTTGTTTATGACGTTACGTTGTTATGGATAGAACGTTGCACGCCGAAAGATTCGCATATGCACGAATACGCGATACGCTCAAGTAGCTCGCGCGATCGAACTAATTTCCTCCGCTCCAATTCCCTAAAGAGAGAACGAAAATTTTCGGTTATCTCTGATCGCAGCTTCTATAATTGCTTGAATTAATTCACCGTGAATTGCTTTATTCGAAATTAATTAGCTCGACGATGCATAGAGGGATCTCGAAGTCTCAAGTTTTGAACACTGAATGTCTCTGTGAGTAAGCATCAAGTTAAGATTCCATCGAGACGAGACCTGTTTGAAAATGAATAGGATTACACAAATAGGAGGAAGATTTTATTATTTATTTGCCAACATCGCGAAACTCGAAACCCATTAAGCTTATTCTTCTTTGCATGTAACTCACTGTTGATTCTCCGATATTTTTGATAAGGAAGAAACTGTTTTCGACCTTTGATAAAAAAATAACGCTCCCTGCATCAAACGCGTCTGTTGTTCAAGACTCGTGTAAAGATAAAGGTAACGCGTAAGGAAAGGGCGCGCGACTCTCTAGCCAGAGAAAGGGTCGGAAGACGGCCGTATACATCCGACCGTTCGTAAACAGTTTACGGATGCGTGCTGTGCGATGCGTGTTTAAACGCGGGTAATAAGAGCGTAACGCGCTGAATCACGAACAAAGGGTAATAGCGCTCGTAACTCGAATATTAACAGGGTCTCTGCCCGATTCAATTTAGCGCGGGTTTGCCCAAAATTGGATCTCTCAGTCGCCGACGCGTCGATCCTCGAGTTGATACCCTCTGTACCGATTCTCGTTTCCGTCCAAGGCGGCATCTTCGCCTTGCGGAACCGCGAGGACATCGGACATCAGCCACGGGTGCGCAAACAAGTGTACACACGTTGGAGAACTTACATCTACACGGATGCCCGGCCGCGCGTATCTGTTAGTCTGGTACCTTCGCCACGAGCTAGGCGAAGTATCAACAGGTGCTGTCAGTCGGTTGTTTCGCTTAATCGGTTTCTATTCTGCCTGAGACTTCTAAGCTCCGCGCTTGGCAATTCGTGACACTCCCCGGGGGAATCTTAGACGTTACACCCCCCCGTTCTACGCCATTTACGTAGTCGACCCCCGATCGTGTGCCCCGTTAAGGCTACAAATCGCACTTAACCGATTACAAGGAAAAGCTGTTCTCGGGATTGCAGGGCGGGATTCAAAGGCGACGATGTAATCGTCACGATATTATGATGTAATATAACGAGTTATTTTCCGCAATTCAAGTCTTATATAGAACGATAAATCAGATAAGTCTGGTATTTCGAAAGTTTCTTAATTGCTATGGAAAAGGAACCTTTAACTATCGTCTGCCGATTTCGTTTTTTTACATTTTTCTTTTTTTAGAACCTCGATTTGGACCTCTTCTCCGTATGTACTGCCAAGCCAATTTTATACCGCTCGATTCAACGTGTAATTGAAGATACGTCTCTAACGTCCAAAATGAAATAACAAAACGCATCGTAAGCGGTCGGCAATGAGATAAGTTTGGCGTTCATTCCGCTCGCCGGTGCCAAGCCCATTCCGAGATTGAATCCCACAAAACTGACTGCGTCACGGTGTTGTAATTAATTTATAATACCTCTAATTGCGCGGGCCCATGTAGGATGTGGCTGTCCCGGCATTTAATTTGCTCGCTAATTAAACAGGCTACGTTTCCCCCCCATTGGAGTCCAGCGTGCGACCATTCCGCGCTTCTCGTCTCCCCCAACCGCTTCTTCTCGCTGTGGCTGTCGCGCTATACTTTATTACTCCTCCAAAAAGCCTCGCAATAACGCGGGAGATCCAAGTGCCCGCACTACATTCCGCAGCTGTGTATACAAGAAACGTAGCAGCGAGACACGAGCAGAAAGATGAGGCGCAGTGATTGAAAAAAGTTCCGAGATAATTTTTACTCTCTCTCTCTCTCTCTCTCTCTGTCTCTCTGCATTATGCCGTCACTATTGCAAATACAACCTGAGTTTCTTATTTAGCTCGAGTCTCATGAATATTTCTCATTTCTACCAGCAAAATTACGTAAAAGCGATTCTATCTTATATCGCTGGCGCGGATACGCTGTTGCAGCTTGCCGCTCTGTCACGTTTTCTCACACCTGCAGTCCATTACATCTTCCGATGATTCGCGAGGCATCCTGATTCGTGCTTTCACCACTACGTGTTCAGAATAGTTCAGCATAGTCGAGGGGGAGACGTAATATGTTGGTAAAATTGCAGTTGTCTGAGCGCCGGCCACGAAAATAGCGCGCGCGGCCAGAAGTTATTCGCGCTTGAAATAACGACACTCTCTTAAAATGGAACTTTATAATGAAATAGACTTTATCCGTAATATGAGTTCGATGCATGAACGGGGCACTTTATCGCATTATATATAAATTATCTGTATTAACGCGCGATTTTTGTAACGTGCCATGCGTGCGTGCGTGCTCGCGCGGCCGGATCGTCCAAGCGCCCTCGGGTCCGATATCGCAATTGCCGTTGTACCGGGGAGTGTAATCATTTCATACGACGCGTAATCATTTTACGAGCGCTATTAGCACATTATGCAATTATTACGGAAGTCCGGATACGAGCGACCGCGCGCGCAGCACACGGGGATGATTATCGACAGACAGGTAACGATATGTTGATGGGCCATTGCCGACAGCACTGTCCGATAATATAGCGATGTACAGAAGTATACGCGCGCGCGCAGGATCGGTATATATATTTTGGAGGGACAATTGGCATGTAAAATGGTAGCCGCACGCCATTATTGTATTGTACTTACAAAATCAAGTAGAACTTCATTTCGAGAGCGTGCTCGACGTTCCGACATTGTATACGGGCTTGTATACGCTCATGGCCTAATCCATTAACATTTGCATTCGATTTATCGTATCGTTCTCCGAAATGGGAAATAGTGAATTGATGCAAATGTTAAACTTTTGTGCGCGCATGTAACGACCTTAAATTTTATTTTTTGGCGTCGATCACGCGCGCGCGTTTCTCTTCGCGAATATTGTGTTCATTGTATTTCACATTAAATGGTTTTACAAGCAGGCGTACAAATATTACATAATAAATACTTTAGCGTAGAAATGGAAAGCGAATCGCAGAACGTGAAAATTCGTGTCAAATAAAAAAAAAAATGTGCAACTTGTTCGATCGGGGAATCGACGGTAAATCAGTGAAGCGTACGACGTGTCTCCGCGGAAAAATGATGAAGTATTTAATATAAAGTTAATGTAGCTCGCGAGAACGGAAGACTTGATCGATACCGGTCATCAATCAGTCTGGTATCTATCTTGGGCAAATGTGTCATTGATTCCGTTATGTTTTATAAATTTTCGCGGTATACGCGTGAAAAAAGGAAAACGCAGTTGTAGTAAAGTTGGCGATACAATTGCACGGATCGAAATCAGAAATCTCTATGGAAATATGTATCGTTACGCCGATTGTCAAATGTAAATTCGGCAAAATTACATCGTTTTCTATCATTGAGGAATTGCCTTCGCTTTTAGGATGTAAAAATCACATTTAAGAACAGATTTGTCGAGAATAGGAGAAATATATTAGAATTAGAGAAACTGCAGATTGCGCCGCGCCGCCGAATAATTTTGGCGCGCTGAATTTTATATCCCGATATACGTCGTTCATTTGTTCGCCGGCCCGCTGGAATCTGCTACCGATGTGGCGGGATGAAGGGCGCCTGACATCACGGTTATTGCATAATTATGCAAATTACGAGTTCCACCGACCTACGATCACGCGGATGTTTCGATTGGCACAAAAGTATTTGATACATTTGAATACCCGGAGGGGCGAAAATATGAAACGGGTTAAATCAAATTTATCCTCTTTCGAGCTGCAACATTACCTGTCATACCCCGAGAGCGTGACGTGCCAGTACAGTTTGCAGCATACGAATCAAAATGCGTCATATCCATAGAGCGATAGACCATCGAGTGTCAGTACACTTTGTCGGGCATTTAATTTCGGCGGTCTTCAAAGCACCGTGCTTGATATTGCTCTTTCGCTTTTTACAAATGGTTATACCTCGCTAAATATTTTACCCATGCAACTCGCAAAAAGTGACAAACGATCCTTGGTCCGCTTTCAATTGATTCACGTAACATGATATTCCATGTTAATATGATAGGAAAAATAAAAAAAGAAAGTTATGAGCAGACGAGTTCGGGGTATAGTAACAATACGCGACAATAAATATTTCCTTATACATCGGACAGTTTAACATTTCTTGACCGTTCGTTGCAATAACAGTCCAAACCCCAACAATCGACAGGCCGTTTCTCAGGCGTCGTAATTGCTGCCTATTATGAATCTAATCGCGATCTATTATGCAATCTCCCTGGATTCAGCGGGGAGAATTAACGTGATATCTAATGACGCGCGTGATAGCCATTGCATGGAAACGATCGTGAAAACCGCATGGTACATCCGCGATGGGGCATCGCCCCGTGTCGGCGTCCGTGTTTTACGAAGTCGTGAAAGCAAGCACGGGCTCTCACGCGTGGAGAACGAGTGGAAAACTCGTCGGTGTGGGTCGGCGTCGGTGGCTGCCGCAAAGCGGGGAGTCAGGCCGCGTATAGGGGGTTGCGAAAGGGGTAGATGCGTCGGCGTGTTGCGCCGTAGCTTTTGCCGCGGCGCCCGGCAGTCCATTGGCGAAGCCCTAACGAGCAGCGGCCGAGAGCGGAGCATTCCCACGGAAAGATTCATAAGAATTCGAGCGGGCGAAAGTGGACGTGCTTTTTTTTTCGCGCGCGCATCGATATGCCGTAACTTCTTTTTCTTTTTTCTTTTCATATACGAGCCGCTCCTTGTTGCCGGTCGCGTTGCCGGTTGCATCCCCGCGTATTTTTTTTACGTCGTGTCGACGGTAAATAAGCGTCATCGCACAGATAAACATTATTTTGGTGACGAACTTGAGGCGACACTGTGAAGTGACTCGCGTCATACTCCGTACCACGGAGAGCCGGGCGAAAAATTTGAAAAGCGGTGCACTCGGATGAATCCTCGATGAACGAGTACCGTGAAATTTTAGTGCTTCGGACCTCGGAGTCTGTCGGCGACATGTGATCGTGCGCGAGGGAGAAAGAGAGAGAGAGAGAGAGAAAGAGAAAGATAAACCGCGCGTGAATTCGCACGCGATCTCGGACGCTAATTGCTCTCTCGCGTATATCGGCTGCTGCGATTCGTGGAGTGATCGTAGAAATCAAAGACACACAGTAGGCCGAATATCGCTTTCCCATTTTTTATTTTCGTTTATACGCGAACGTAACGATTATGGCACGGGTTAGCAAGTTTTAAGGAAAATGATGTAGAAAGGCATGAAATAGTTAAAGAATTTATTCACGTCGTCCCTACATAATTTCAACGAGTTTATTATTTCGATCAAATCTTGGAAATGCTTGATGAATTTTATATTTTTTGTAAAATCTGACGTGCGATAGCGCGTCACATTCATCATGCACAATATGAATTGCAAAATTGGATGAAATTATTAATGTGGACTTATCGCGAAAAGATTTATACAACGTGAGAACGAATGAGTAAAAAGACGATCGGTCAAAATCACGATTGAAATTTCTGTGGTGAAAAACATGCGAGTTTCCCCTTTTAGCGTGTGACATCGCGCACGCTAAATCTTACCGCATCGTGTCACGTTGTTAGTTTCGGATTAAAAACTATACGCCGGTCACTGGTAAAAGTAGGGCACGTCCGGTCCCGCCCTTCGAGGCATTACCTGATCCAGCCCGAAGGACAAAGAGAGGAGATAGATGGAAAAAAAGTAAAACGAAAAAATGCACACGAAATTACGCGCGAGGGAAAAAGAGGTCGTATGAGCTTCATGACGTGATTCGCGCCATCGATTGTGCGATGGAATTGACATTACGAACGCAGAATTTTTCTACCCCAGACGGCGATAGATTTTTTTTATGACTTTCGCCGAGAGCTGTGATTTTTTTACGAGGAGCAATCGGAGCTGATCTGTTATTTAAATCGCGCTTATTAAATACCGATAAAGAAGTATACATTTATCGAGGATTTCAGTTGATTGACGACCCGACGATATATATTCGAGCATTTTTACAATATTTAATTCAACTTGATCCGATTCAAGTTAGGTCAGATAATAGTTACCTTAGAGCTTTATGTTTGCAGAGCGTTGATATTGTAAACAACAGTCAATGCTGTAGCTCTCTCAGAAACGCTTAACGTGCTCCGGGCCGTTTAGAACGTGAGCGAGGACTACAACTTACGTAACGGGAAGAGATGGGGAAATTTCCTCTCTGTTTGTTATCTCCGGTCCATCGACCGTTATCTTTTTGTGTACACTAAAACGTGTGTACACGATATTGCAGTGTTCTCTTTTACTTCAAATAATGGCGCAAGGCATGAAACATACAAAAATGAATTGTTTTCTTCCGCAATAACTTTTCGAATAAAAATGTAACAATTTTTGTTCGATAAATTCAGCGGACGATCGCGCGTCAAGAAATTCCCGCTCCGTTCCAAGCGACTGATGTGCACGTTCGCGAAATTGCAGGTCGGCGGTGCGCGGGAATTGTTTCGACACATCGCGAACTGTGATTCCACGCGAATTACTCCCGGTCGAGCGATACTCCCCTGCATGTAGCGCCCCAACTCGCAGATGTATCGCGGAGAATCCGAATACGCGTTCTCTGATCGAGCGTGGATGACCATTACTACTTGAAGCAATATTCCGAAATGCTGGCGCTTGCCGCGGAATAGATTCTGTTTCACGGTGATGGCAGCGTTTCGCGCGGGTGAATCGTAAGGTGCGATTCCGGAGAAAGTAGATAATCGTATGATTTAACCGTTTAAGCGGCGATGAAGGAGAATGAGGGGTGGGAAGAACGGTCGTGTTAGCCTCTAACCGCGAGATTCTTTTCTTCGCGCGGCGGAAAGTGTCAATACGGGGGAGAGCTGATGATTTTTGACAGAGCCGGTATCAGTGAAGTTGCATGAAGAGAAACGAACGGAGTAACGTGGCGATAAAGCGGGGCAAAAATAGAGCGAAGGGAAAAAGTGAGAGACGGAAATTCGTGAGGTGGGAGACAAATTCGTGAGCGGAGCGACATATCGTGCCGCCGCATAAAGAAGTAAGTATATCAATAGCAATTGATCGATAATTATCAATGCCTGTACGCGCAGTTTATTAGCGCGTTTGTGTTTCCCCGGCGTGAATCGATAACGCTGATTTACATATTTTCCGATAACGCCGCATACTTCAACGTGGCGCGTTAGAGGTGTAATCGCATGTAATTATCGTGCGTGCGTGTAACGAGCTCGGGGGACCGCTTCCTGATCATTTCAATGCTTTTAATTTGCACTCGATTTAAGGCAGCACTTCGACACGTTTTAATTTTATCCGCCGAGCGATTATCCGTCAGCGCATAGATTCGATGAGAACTGCACATGTGTTTCGTGTTAATTGCATTCATCATAGATTTAAAATGTGATAGGTTATTACGCCATTTACGCATCCTAATTTTAGATGCAAATATAGTAAACGGTTAACAGTAAACAGTTTGTCGTTAACAGTTATCAAGTTATAAAAAATTCTATTAAATGTAATTCCAATATCCAATTAAATATAATTCCAAATGTATGTCAAGTATAATTCCGATGTATAATTAAATTCCGATAATTCATATATTATATTCACGTACTTTGGAATAAATTACACGCGGAGTAAAAATTGGCAAATTGGTTAAGCCAATTTAATTCGCCACATCTTGCCTTACGGCGTAATGACGATTTATTTATATTATATTACTAATAACAGTGAAATATTCGCCCTTTGGCAATTAATGGGATATAAAAGGCGATGCAATCGCGATTTTACAATGTGGCATCTGTTGAAATAAGTTTGCGCCTTAGCATACCCGGTTTTATCGCTCATCCCCGATTTTCATTACATTCCTCTTTCTCGTGAAAACATTTTAGCGCGGAAACTAAGACGAGATATCCCGTATAATATCTCGTGATTTGCATTTTCACGCTTGCGGCCGTCTCCACATTAGAGGAGAAACACTTTCCTATCTGCATTAATAAACGAGATTTGTGAGAGCCATTCGTTTCGGTGGGAACAGAGCGTATAATACCGACGGTATCGCGAACAGATTGAATTTATTCATTGCGCATAACGTTGCGGAATTGTTTCTTTATACGCCTGATAGAGTGGATGCATCGACGAATAGGTAACAGTAGTCGGCTAAACGAATATCGTTAAATTGAGCGATAAATTTCAAAGGACCAATTATTTTTTTCCGCGAACATTATAACGCTACCGTAACATAACGGTGACTGTATTTGCGGATAATTAGGAGGGAATTACGTATGGGTTATTTCGCGCAGGGAGATGAGGTGTCAGATAAATGCATGTATTATAATATGGTCGTTACGTACGTACGTGACGGGCGCCTTAGCCAACTTGCATGCGCGGGATGCCACGCTTGTGCGCCACGTAAGGTGAAAACGGGTCAAGAGGATCCCGTCATAAGAAAGTTAATACCGCATATGTCGCAGCTTGCTGAGCGTGAGGCGGCAAGAAGGGGCCACTTTTAAATGATAAATTACTTCTAATGGCGTCAGTTTGCTGGCTGGCGCGAACTTTGATGAGTTTTTATCCGGGCGGGCGGTGCGTCTACCGCTCCTCCAGGAGTCGCGTCTTACGTCTGCTTAATCCCGACGAGCTTAATCTTCGTGACGCCCAATTTTTGTCGCGTCCAATCTTCGTAATCGATACGCCGGATTGAAACGGACGAATTCATTTAACGACACGCGCGACTGATTTCCCGTTTTTACGATTTTATACATTTACGTGCAACGTAATTCGTGTTTTCCTCGGAACGTCCCAGATGTGACGTTAATTTAAAGATCTTCGCTAACATTAACGGCTTCCTCAAGAATGAATTGCCGTTCGTGTTCCCTCAACGAATGAATCGCGTCGAACGACGCGCGCTATAGGATTCCCTTAACCCGATTTACATCCGGGTAGCTTAATTGGAGAAGCGGGGAACGTTACTAGTTCTATCGTTCTATACTAAATTCCAATCAGCGTTGCGACGGCATTCTCACGGTTGCCCACTGCGGCGATTTCATTCTAATCATCGCCTTACCTTTGATAACGCAGAACGTTATTCTGGGTGATTATTTCTCATTCTGCAACACAGCGCAACCGCGTTCAAAATATCGATATATACGCCGTTGATATTTCACGAGACACGATACATGTCGTAGCATGCCTTGCGGCAATATTTGCACTTTAACGTTCCGGACGATTATAGTAATTGTATCGCGACGTTATCGGTAATGATATATTCTCAATGTATATGCGACGGGAAATTATATATTCTCCGAAATTGATAAATGTCAAGAGAACTGATCAATTATTTAATTAACTGACGCGTTAGATTGCAGCTGCGGTCAACGTGGAGTAAAAGTCTTACGAATGTAAAAAATCTGTGACGTTAATAATAAAATGTATAGCGACATGTATTAGTAATATCGGTCAAACTCTTGTTTAGGGGAGGCATCTCCAATGATCTTGTCCTTCACATATATTATACATAGATGTTACCTTCTGAATAACCTTTAAAAAGTTTCAGCCGTCGCTCGGGTTGTTTAATAAAATTTATTAACAAAATAAATTTAATAAATGGAATGTAATTTTCCGACATCATGTACATTTAAGAAGGTATCTATATACATACCTGAACCGTACAATGATAAACCTTGTTATAAAAAAATTGTAAGTATATTTCTAGGGACTTCGCCCCTCACCTAGAGATGTGCGATTTTTAAAATTGTGGTCGCGATCGCGATCTTCCTTAAAAATCGCAGTGAATGCGATATATATCGCATTTCGATTTTTATCTTATATTCTAAATTGTTCGTTATGTTATGTCATGTAATTTTAAATTTTACGATTTTTGAAAATTTTATTATACATTTTGATTGTTTTAAATCATAAAATTTAAAATTATATAATGTAACGGGGGAAATTTAATATAGTATTCGCGATATAAAATAACAGGTTCAAAATAAAGAGGAGCAAATTTTAAACAACCATGTCTAGTGTTAAAAATAAGCGTATTTATTAATCGGAACCAAACGTATATTTATAAAATTCAAATCAGATTTTTGGACCTTGTATATAGTTTCACTAGGTTTCTGTAAAACTTTTAAACAGTAAACTCACTATATTGTTAAGGAGAACTTTTTATTATTGTTGTTAACATTATACCACTGAAGATGGCTTGAACAGGAGCCGAAACGTTTGGAATTTGGATTTTGAGAAATAAATTATTATAATATTTAAACACATCTGGATCCGCGTGTGACCCTTACAGCCTCTTCCAATTTATATTTGAATTTCGAGGGTCTTTATATTATTACATTTTATTAAAATTCAAATCATTTTGTTTTACCATTTTCTTATATAAATATTTAATAAATAAACACTTTATTAGAAAAGTGCAATTTTGAACTGTGTTTGCGATTTTAAATCGCAGGCGCAATTTTATATCCCGTGCGATTTTGCGATTAAAAATCTAATTACATATCGCATTACGATTCAAGAAAAAAAAGCACGGTGCTATAGCGATGTATTGCAGAATCGCACATCTCTACTTTTATCCCGCCCAAAAATATACTTACCAATTTTTTATAACGAAGTTTATTATTGCACGATGTGGAAACCCATGGAACCATTTTATGTTAAGAGAAATAACTTTTTTTTATAAAAGTCGCTAAAAAGGTATACTGTCACCGTAATATATAAGTTCGATTTGAGTTAGGTTTTTTGTAGAGTGAGGGTGCAAGGGAGGAGCGGATTCTCTTCTTCGCTTATACTATATGTACTATATGTTCATATATACATTAGTCATTTATGAAAATAACTGTTATATTTTTAAACTTTTTTTTGTTAGAGTCACTCATTGTTTTGTTCAACTCTTTAATAAACAATGAATGACGGTTAAAACTTTTTAAAGGTTACTCAAAGGGATGATCTTTATAATATATGTGATAGACAAGGTCAGAGGTGCCTCCCACTAAACAGGAGTTTTATCATAATAATGTATATATATGTATACATATTAATGTGACTAAAGAAATATTAATTATTCCTCTTTAGCACGTTTATGCACGTTTTTAGCACGTATATTTCGGTCTCGTTGTATCTCACGACTCACGAAAGTTTGGCGAGACGAGAGAAACAAGCAGCAAGTAGCGCGCCAAGAAATAAGTGGCATTAAGACAACTAATTAAATATTTTATGGCAGAGTAGCAACAACTTTAGCAGTAAATCTTGCGGAAAGAGAAATCGCATGGTTCGTGAGGAAGGGCCCGTGTTACAAGGCTATAATATAAATTGTAAAGTGTTCGCGTAGCTATCTCGTACAATGCTTGACGCCAGGAGCTATAGTTAAACACTCGGGATAGATCTTCGTCGATGTTGCTATTGTTATCGTCGATTTAATCGCACAGTTTTAATTCCGTAATCCGTCTCTTCTTTTTCCTTCTCGACTATCTGACATACAGACGTTTTTGATCGCGGATTTGATATTCACATTCGTCGGAGTTACTTGAGCGATACGACTTTTCAGATACTCACACAGTTTTATGTGTACTCAGCGATCGCGCAATAGATACCCCGCGTGAATCCCACCTCGCGCAAGGGAGAGGCTTATTACCCTCGGTACCGTCGATTTATTCGCAAGGAAATATGTATACGATCTTCGTCTCCTCGGTTATCTCCTCTCCCGCGTTGGTCGTAACGTGGGCCGTGCTGAATGTAAGCCGCATTGCCGGCGACAGCTTGATCGCTCCTTAAATTACTTTACACACCCGCGAGCATTGCTCGTGGCGGCGAAACGTTTATACTTGTCTTCATTGTTCTCCTTCCCCTTGCGACATTCTAGGAGGTAAGACGCAATCCGTGCACTCGTTTAACTCGCCGGTGTTTACTGCATCGCGAGATTATTATACTTCTTTATAATGATTATACAGCAGGGATGGAAAAGTTACTTTTTAAAAAGTAGCTAATTATTGTTACTCGTTACTGAGTAAAAAAAGTAACTAGTTACGGTTTTTA